CCAGTCATGAAAGTGGTTTTCAAAGCTTCTCTGATGCACAGCACTTCCTGGTGTGCTCTTCTAATTGCCCTGGTGTCTGGCTGCACGTAATCAGCAGCCAGGCGATTTGCCTGAGCCTCCCACCCCGCCATAAAGGTCTCCCCCTTACTTTCACAGAGATTGTGGAGCACACAGCAAGCAGAAATAACAATGGGGAGATTGGTTTGGCTGAGGTCTGAGCAAGTCAGTAACGATCGCCAGCGACCTTTTAAATGGCCAAATGCACATTCTACCACCATTTCTGCACTTGCTCAGCCTGTAGTTGAACAGCTCCTGACTCCTGTCCAGGCTGCCTGTGTATGGCTTCATGAGCCATGGCATTAAGGGTAGGCTGGGTCCCCAAGAATAACTATTGGCATTTCAACATCCCCAACGGTTATTTTCTGGTCCGGGAAGTAAGTCCCTTGCTGCAGCCGTTTAAACAGATTAGTGTTCCTGAAGATGCGAGCGTCATGAACCCTTCCCGGCCAGCCCACACTGATGTTGGTGAAACGTCCCTTGTGATCCACAAGTGCTTGCAGCACCACTGAAAAGTACCCCTTGCGGTTTATGTACTGGGTACCCTGGTGCTCCGGTGTCAAGATAGGGATATGGGTTCCATCTATCGCCCCACAACAGTTAGGGAATCCCATTGCAGCAAAGCCATCCACTATGACCTGCACATTTCCCAGAGTCACTACCTTTCGTAGCAGCACCTCAGTGTTTGCTTTGGCTACTTGCATCACAGCAGCCCCCACAGTAGATTTGTCCATTCCAAATTGATTCCCGACTGACCGGTAGCTGTCTGGTGTTGCAAGCTTCCACAGGGCTATCACCACTCGCTTCTCAACTGTGAGGGCTGCTCTCATCTTGGTATTCTGGCGCTTCAGGGCAGGGGAAAGCAAGTCACAAAGTTCCAAGAAAGTGCCCTTACGCATGCGAAAGTTTCGCAGCCACTGGGAATCGTGCCACACCTGCAACACTATGCGGTCCCACCAGTCTGTGCTTGTTTCCCGGACCCAGAATCGGCGTTCCATGGCTATAACCTGCCCCATTAGCAGCATGATCTCCAAAGCACCGGGTCCCGCGGTTTGATAAAATTCCATGTCCATATCCTCATCACTCTCGCTGCCGCGCTGCCGTAGCCTACTCCTCGCCGCCTGGTTTTGCAGGTTCTGGTTCAGCATAAACTGCACGATAACGCGCGAGGTGTTTACAATGTTCATGACTGCTGTCTTGAGCTGAGCGGGCTCCATGCTTGCCATGGTATGGCGTCTGCACTATTCACCCAGGAAAAAGGCGCAAAACGGTTGTCTGCCATTGCTTCCCTGGAGAGGGGGGATATACCCAGAACTACCCGCGACAATGTTTTTGGCTCCATCAGGCATTGGGATCTCAACCCAGAATTCCAATGGGTGGAGGAGACTGCGGGAACTCTGGGATAGCTACCCACAGTGCAGTGCTCCAGAAATCGACGCTAGCCCCGGTACATGGACGCACACCACCGATTTAATGTGCTTAGTGTGGCCGCATACATTCGACTTTATACAATCTGTTTCTAAAATTCGAATTATATAAATTCGGATTAATCCCGTAGTGTGGACATACCCCAAGGAACAGAAACTATTAAAAACAAAGGGGTTTTGTTTATTTTTCAGTTTAAAGCATAGATCTTTTTAGTAAGTACAGACTGTAAGCAATAGCCTTTCCACAGTTAGAAAGGCAGCTGCCTCCGGTACAAAATATTTCAGTCCAAACACCTGCAATTAATTAAAGTTGTTTAAAATAACGATTTTTTTGTACATAGAAGCCATCACACCATTCAGCACAAGTGGTAGTCTCTGCTCAAGACTCTCTGTACTAGAAGAGGAGTTTTCCAGATCAGGATTAAGGTGCCATAGCAGAGAATTGTGAACATTTGTCCAGTGTTGCCTACAATTTTAGTCTCTCGTTTTCAGAAATATTCAATTCATATTTTTTAGAAAAATTAATCATATGTCTAAACCCTGCCAATTTTTCTGCACCCTGCAAACATCCCACAACAGAAGTCCGTGTGAAAATCTGAATCCTAGTGTAAAAGGATTAGTATCCAGTGAGAAGACATCTAAATCTACAAAGTTTCATGTTAAGAAGCATACCTTTAAATAAATATCTGTCGAGACTAGATGTTACTGGCGTTTAATAAGTGAAGGCAAGATATCAAAAGGTAAATCTGCAAGGGCACCAAATGCAACAGTTAGTAGCTTCCACTAATTGTTGGAAACCCTTTCAGATTAATATTTGATCCCCAAATAAATCAGTTCTCCATACTGACTGTATAATATGGCCATACAAAACTGCAGAAATCTTTTCAAAAGGCTTAGCAGATGACTGGGTGGAGCTGTTTATGATGAGAACAATAAAGGAAAGGAAAAGAGTGGTCACCCTGTTTAAAGATGTATCTGTGCAATAAATTGCACAGCAAGTTCCTTAATCTATTCTTTAGTATCTTACTTTGCCATACCTTTGGATTGTCAATAATAGGGGTTACAAAAAGGTCAGATTCTGTGTAGATGAGCTCTTTCATCTTGGACTCCATGTCCTGCTGGCTTGAGTGTACATTTTTACCCTAGAACAAGAACATAAATACAGTAGTCAGGTTTGTAAGAAAAGTTTTCAACATTTTTGCTGCAATATTTCTTTTAAACACTACCAAACTGCATTGTATGGATAACGCAAATACTCTGTGTTTGTATTATTTGCTTTACGGGAGTGAATAGATTCCTTAACTAAGATCAGGTCCCACTGTGCTAGGCACTATACAAACATACAGTAAGAGAAAGATGCTGATCCAATAGTAATAGACAAGCCAGACAAAGGGTGCTGAGACACAAGGAGATTACGTGACTTACCCAAGTTCTAAAAATCTTTCCAGAATCAGGGCCTTATATTCATTATCCGCACCCCAGTTACTGCAGCACATTCTATTACCATTTTTTTTTTTAAATTCCCACCAACCTACAGACACACTTTTCTTAAATCTTTCATGAAATAGCAGGTATTTACATGCCAATTATATGGTTTATGCATTTCTTATTACTCAGTGAACATGTTTGTATGGACAATGCCCATTACTTTGTCCAATACATCTTTTTAATGTTCATTGGGGGTGTGGGGGGAATGAAATTTTATTTACACACCCCACCATGCCCAATTACCAACACCACCATTTTTGAAAAATGTATTCAGGTGCTTAACTTTACACACCGTAAATAGTCCCATTCAGAGTCAATGTGTATAAATCTTTGAAGGATTAGAGCCCAAAATTTCAACAGTATTGGCCTTTTTAAAAATAAAGAAAAGAAAGTTGGGAACTTACAATCAACAGTTATATAAATGATTAGAATTATATTGTCTCTAAAATCCTATTTAAATTATATCCTTTTCTTTTATGAGACTTAGTTTTATTAATCAAACTGCATTTATGACATTTATGAGAAAATTGGAGCTATTATTCTCTCCCTAAAGTACGTTTACTCAATACACTAGAAATTACCACCAACTATCAGCTATGTTTTATGATCTGTAATTAAAATAATATTAACATACTCTTTTTGAGCAGCAAAGGTTGATAAATAAAAATAAAAATACATTATTTCAGACATAGGTATGTGTTAGTTTTTTTCCCCCTCGTTTTAAAACAAACAAAAGTTAAAACTGCCACATTAAATTGAAAAAATATAATCAGAAAATATAAGTATCAAGAATATAACAGCTTTAAAATCCCCACCTTTTAAAAGTCATACAAAATGATAAAATAAGAGGAGTAGTCTTACAATTTATATATTTTGTAAGAAATATTTACATGTGAAAATTAACATTAGACATTCCAATAATAACCTTAAGAGTAAAACGAACAGGAGTACTTGTGGCACCTTAGAGACTAACAAATTTATTAGAGCATAAGCTTTCGTGGACTACAGCCCACTTCTTCGGATGCATATACTGTATATGCATCCGAAGAAGTGGGCTGTAGTGCACGAAAGCTTGTGCACGAAAGCTTATGCTCTAATAAATTTGTTAGTCTCTAAGGTGCCACAAGTACTCCTGTTCTTTTTGCGGATACAGACTAACACGGCTGCTACTCTGAAACCTTAAGAGTAACTCATTTCTTTTTTCCCTACGCAATGCAGTTACTCACTAATGTGTTTAATAACTATTGTATGTTATACAAAATGACTAATATAAAGATAACACATTATACTTATATTATAAAATATTTTAGAAATTGTACATAATATAAGGTATATCAATTGTAGATCAGTAATAGATACAAAAAGATATCTTTCTGCAATATCGATAGTACATAATTAACTAAAATGTTAGTATTCTGAAATTGAAAGAGGTGTGTGCAATACACCTTAAAGACAGAGGCGGGGAGTTGTTTGTGCCCTGCCCCAGCCCAGAGCCTGCACCCAGCACCTGAACTCCGTCCCAGAGCCTGCACCCCCACCTCCTTCCCACACACCCTCTCCTGCCCCCAAACTCCCTCCCAGACCCTGCACCCATACTCCCTCCCAGAGCCAGCACCCCTCACCCCCTTCTGAACCCTCACCCCTTGCCACAGCCCAGAGCCTACACCCAAACTCTGTCCCAGAGCCTGCACCCCTCACCCCCTCATGTACCCCCAGAGCCTGCACCCAGCACCCAAACTCCATCCCAGATCCTGTACCTCAGGCCCCCCTCCCCCACCCAAACTCCCTCCCAGAGCCTGCACCCCAATCCCCTGCCCCATCCCAGGGCCTGAACCCCAGACCTCCTCCCCCCACCCAAACTCCCTCCCAGAGCCTTAGGCAGGTGGGGTGCGGGTTCTGGACACCACCAAAATTTCTATAAATCTGCCACCCCTGCTTAAAGATACAGTTTATGTAGTCTGAATTTAGTTACTGTCATAGATACATTAGTCCTCTTTCCACCGAATATGTGTTAAACCATCTTTCTATAACTCAGAACTTGAAATGTTACATTTCTTGAGAGCTGTCTCTTACAGGTCAGAGTTAACACTGTTCTTGAAATATCTACTGTTAGTTTTCATACATACATTAACTAAAAAAATCTTGCATCAGCTGTAACAATATTGAAACTTTCTTTATATTACCTTATCTTTTCTATATATTTTTTCAATGTTAGATTTTCTTTTTTTTAAATGATAACACTCCTGGTAATAATGTTTTCTAATGTTTGTGTAACATCCTACAGTAACCTTATTGCCCTTTTTATTTAATTAATGTATGTATTGGTCTGGCAATCTCTTATTTCTCTTAATTAAGGGGCAAGAGATGCTGAGGTCCCAAAGTTTGAGCTAGTGCAGGGGCAAGTTTGGCCTCTGGTGTAATTAACAGCAGCCTGAGAATTGATCTTAAAATTCTGTAAATGTGTAGATTTGGGGATTTTTTGTTTTTAATTTCAAGAGGGAATGGAGTGCAAGTTGGCTTTATAATGGAATCCAGGTTGCAATCTTAACTATGGAAATATTACTCTCTCACAATAATATACTTCTCACCTTTGTCAAGCATAAAGTTCTTCGTTCTGAATTCTGAGTTAAGGCAGCAGCAGCACTATTCATTTCTACTGCAGTGCTAGTCCTCGGAGTTGGACGAGAGCTGAAAGACATTATACAAAAATTAAAGAGTGCTGATTAGCTTTCATGGATTACAAGACATTCTGGATTATGAAACCTCTACATAATTCCCATTTGTGAGGGGAAAGTGTCATGGTTAACAGGCACAATATTTGTTCCATCAACCCAATATATACTTCCTGTTTTTAAATCCCCCATAATAGTTTGTTTTTTTCCTCCCCACCATCAACCCTCCAAACCAAAGGACGTAGTCATATTAAAATCCCATCTCCTAAATGTGATGAGTCACCAAACAATATCTCAAGGCGATTAACTTGCTGGATTGCAATGCACTTTATACTGTTCTCAGCTCTAAACAGCCAGCAGTGAGAATGGAAGAAGTATTGAAACTGACAAGTATTCTGATGGTTTTTGTATTCATTCTTCTCATTTTTAAAATACTGTTTGTTCATAACATTTTTACAAAGTCACCAAGAAGATTAGGCGGACACGCAAGGAGAGACCAGGGTGTTGTGATAAAAACAAATTCACTGATTAACCAAAGCTAGGTGTTTGGATTTTTACCCCAATGTAATCCTTGCTTTAGACAGATCTTTCTACTAGATTAGTGAATGGTGAGGGAGGCTGTTTCTGAAACAAGCAAGTTTCTGCTTCATGTGGACAGAAACTAAGCCTCTTATATCAAAAATGAATCCCTCCTGCCTTGCGGCAAATGAAAAACACACACAAAATAGGCCCTCACCAACTAAAACTCATCATTTCAGTTTTTATTTAATGGCTCCTGGGGCACATTGCACAAATAGCACACATAGAGACTGATAACCTGTGCAGCACAACTGACAGGTCTTTGCAGACACTATTTGTTGGCCTGGCTGAAACTGCAAGCTTCAAACATTCCACCCTATTAAGAAGAAATTAAAAATTGCTTAAGTGGTAAAGAGCATTTGTGCATACATAAAGCAAGAATAGAAGTAATGAATAACAGATAAACTTAAATTTTTCTAATCCTGTTTAGCAAAACAGCCCAGAGACTACAAGATATTGCTATGAAAAACAGTAAAATAAAGCAATATTTAAATCGTGGGCTCCAACATCTCAAGGGTTTCTTTATACTAACTACCTAAACACAATTTTCCATACAGAATCATGAGCCAATCTGCTTGCGTACAAATACTGCAGTCCAGCCTGCGCTCTTTTAATTAAAAAATAACATTTAAGAAGATACTCCATACATTTTTTTCTTTTCTAATTATTGCTCTTTAGTTTGTCATACCTAAGAAGAAATATGGACTCATTTGATTCACCACCAGGTGCACTTTTAGGCTGCAACTCAGATGGATTTTCTGTTAAAAACAAAACAAAACAAAAAACATGGAACTCATTCATTTAAAGATTAAGAGGAATAAAATTTATGGAACAGGTATACTGCTGGGATTACAAGGCTGTTCGGATTTACAGAACACACTCATCTGAAATGAGACAATATTAGCAATACATAATCTTACCTAGTTTGAAAGATTTATTAAGTTGCTTATCTGCTCGTGAGGATGACATGTCATTTGAATTGTTATGGGTATCCAATGGGTCCTTGGTATCTCTAGATACAAACAACTCCGTGGTTTCACTGTTGTTTAATAAGACATGCTAGTTAGACACTAGTTAACACATTTCAAAAAATCAATACGATAGTGTTTTTATATTTGCACTAGTGTTCGCAATAGTGATAGATACGTTTCAAGAGACAAGATTCAAGATACATCCGTGCTATGAAAGTATTGTAACAAAATTTTTAAAACATTTTTATAAATTAAAATAAAAATACAAATAATGACCAGAAAACAGTTTTTTATAGTAAAAAGGATATTTCTCTACTTATATTTATTATAAAAATGTTATTTTCACTGAACATATTGTACCTTGAGCTTATGTCCCGGCTATTTGCGGAATCACCATCATATCTGTTGAAAGCATCTTTCCAGAATGGATGCTGTAACAGGTCTGTCCAGTTCAATCTTTGTAATACAATAGAATAAAGATACTGAAACAGCACTACAATATAGTACCATGATTTAATATTCTATGAATCTCTCAGTGACTGACAAACCTGTTATTATGTAACAATGTAATCATACCATTTATAAGTCACAAGCCCAGTAAAATAGATATTTTAACTGCTTTCTTCTCCCACTTTCAAAACAAGTTTGGACTGATTTTAAATTTTATCTGATTCTAAAATTGCCATCATTACCATTATCCTGGTGTTTGTTTGTTTAGTACTGATTATCAGAGTAATTTAATCAAAACACTCAGCAGAAATCTTTGTATGAGAACAATATTAATTAACTGCAACATATTCGAAACAGACAGTTACATCTTTTTGCAGATGTAATCTGCAAAATGTCATGAATTCAGTATTGCAATAGTCATCGCTTTTCGGAAGAGGAGAAGACATAATATGTGATTAATTGTCCTGGATTAGACCACTTTACCTCTTTTGAGGATCCTTTTGAAGCAAACCATCCAGCAAACTAAGGAAGTGTGAAGAAGGTTTGGGAAGAGCAGAACCTGTAAACATAAAAACTTCAAATAATAAAATGAATTTAGGCTAAAACTAGAATGATTACATGAATAATAGAAGAAATATAGAGTTCATATATAGGTCCTGTTCCTGCTAGTCACTAAAGACACGGGATATACAGGGGTACAGAGGTCTGTCTACTTGTATATGATAACACAACCAGAACCTAAGACAGCACATGCAACAGAAGCTTCCAGTAACTAAGCAGCAGTAATTTTAAAAGTTTCTAAAAGGAAATATTCACATTGGGACGATTCTCATACAGTATAAAAGAAATAGTTACTCGCCCTATGCAGTAAATGTAGTTCCTCGAGATGTGTCCCTCTATGGGTGCCCCACCTTAGGTGCATTTGCACCCCCTGTGCGTTTGAGTGGAAATTTCTCATGGCAGTGTCCGTTTAGCCCATGCATGTATGCTAGTCAGCCTCATGCCATTGTTATATAACATGGCATGGGTGGACCACCCTCAGTTCCTTCTCTACAGCAAAGCCCTATAGCAGAGAAGGTGGAGTGCGGGTAATGGAGCATCCATAGAGACCACATCTTGAAGAACTGCAGTTACTGCACAGGGTGAGAAACCATTTATTATTATTATTCTTTGAGTAGTATCCCTATGGGTGCGCCACTCAAAGAGGGGCTACTCAATAACCACCTAAAGGAGGAGGAGGGGGCTCTGGAGTCGAGTTCAGTATGGAAGAAAGTACTTCTGATACTGTGTTTGACTCTGCTGTAGAGTCACAAGTTATTGCACAGTGTTCAGTGAATGTATGTATAGAAGCCCAAGTAGCAGCTTTACATATTTCAGTAATGGACACCTTTTTGAGACATGCCATACAAGTGGAAATGAATTTCATACAGTGAGTTCGTATGTCCGAAGGTGTTTGAATATTATGCAATTTGTAGCAATTAATTCAGTCAGATATCCACTTGGAAAGTCTTTGATTAGAGATTGCAGATCCATTGAGCTATCTGCGAGTGAGACAAACAATTTGGGGTCTTTCTGAAGGGTTTAGAGTTCTATCCTGACAGAAGGCCAGGGCTCTCTTGACATCAAGGGTGTGCAACAATGCCTCTTGTTTATCTAGGTGAGGTTTAGGGTGGAAGACTGGCAGGTGAATAGGTTGATTAATATGGAATTCAGAGGAGACTGTTACCCACAGTTTTCAGAACCCAAAGCAGAGGTAATTTAACTGTTTCTCTCCAGAACATGTCAGGAATAAATCATTGGGGACACAGTTCCTTCCTCTGTCTGATAAATGATTGGTAGAAACAAGAGTGCTTTTACATAAAACTACTCTTTTATTACGTCTCATGCACACACACACACACACTAGCAGTAGGTTCAGAACACCCCAAACATTTATATAGATTGAGATGGGTTCGAATGATTAGCAACCAGGCTGGGGGCCCTCCTTCCATCCAGCTGCTGGGAAGTTTAGGTGTCAGCTCCTTGCCTAAAGAAAAGTTTCCTCAGACTGCTCCGAAGCATGCTTTCTAACTAACTCTATAGATTTTCTCCGGACAAAGCACATAGGCTGTTCTGAGTTATTCCCATCGCAACAGCCAACAACAATTCATTATTATCCACATCATCAAAGCAGCTTCAGGAAAAAAAAGAAAAACATCTTATGAACAGATAACCAGAATCAAGGTCAGTTTTCCACACACCCCACCACCACCACCGAATCTGTCCTTTTCACTTTATATATCCCAGTCAGTAAAACTGCAGCTTGCAGCTTTTTGTCTGCCTAAGCAAGGCCAGATTTTTCTCCTGACTTTATGGTGTCCTCGATTCTAGCTGCCAGGGAGGGGGAGGGAAGGGAGAGGCTAAGTGCACAAGATGACTGCAGATTATATCAAATCCAGGTTTCTCACAACAATGTTAGGTAGAAATTTGACCTTATCCTTAAAAAATACTGTGAAAGGAGGGCATGCCATACAGGCTCTAATTTCCCCAACCTGTCATGCTGACATGATGGCTATCAGGAATGCCATTTTCACTGATAAATGGAGAAGCAAGCAGGTAGCCATCAGTTTAAATGGTGGTCTTGTAAGGCATTTAAGAACTAGATTGAGTTCCCAAACTGGAGTATGATGCTTAACTGACAGAAAGATTTCCGAGCCCCCTTAGGAACCTCACTGTCGTTGGGTGAGCAAAATAGGAAGGAATAAAGGGTGGGAATAACGCTCTGCTGGAGAATATAAAGCCATGATGGCTGCCAAATGGACTCCAATGGAGCTCAGCGATAGCCCTAAACTTTTTAGAGTTAGGACACAGTCTATTTGGCAGCAATGAGGTTGTCAGTGGAATACATCTGAGGTCACACCAATAGACAAGTCTTGTCCATTTTTAAGAGTATGGGTAGAAGATCGTTTTCTGGTGTGTAATACTATTATTCTTACCTCCTCAAAGCAGGTTGTCTCTAATCCCATGAACCATTAATCAACCATGCTTTGAGATTAAGAACTTTGAGGTTGGGATGTAGGATCTTTCTGCCTTCCTGGAAGAGGAGATGAAGACTGGCCTGCAGAGTGATCAGTGAGCAAACAGCCAGCAGTTTTATGTAAGGAAACCATGTGTGTCAGGGCCAGCTCAGAAATATTAGGATGACTCTGGCTTTGTCTTCTTTTATTTTCAGTAGAACTTTGGCAATTAGAGGAGTCAGTGGGAATGCATAGAGGTGATCAGATGACCAATGAAGGTGAAAGGCAACCCCAGGGATTGGTGATCGAGCCTGCCTTTAGAGCAAAAACTGGGCACATTTCTTGTTTATCACTGTGGCAAACAAGTCTATCTGGGGCGTGCCCCATTGCCAGAATATGTGGTAGAACATGCTGAAATGTATTTTCCCACTCGTAATCTTAGAAGAAGTGCCTGTTAAATGTGTCTGTGATCACATTCTGAACCCCTGGAAGACAACGACTTGATTGCATATGCACAGATTACAAAGCTTGACAGCCTCTGCACAGAGGGAGGGGGATCTTGCTCCTCCCTGCCAGTTGATATAAAACAAAGATTTGGGGGCTGTGCTGAATTGTATTGCTATGTCAGAAAGGGCCACAAATCTGTGCAGTGCTTTGGCTCTTGCTGTTACTAAATGGAGATGAGCTCCTATGAATTCCAAGTTTTGTATATGGGTCAGAGTGAATTTTTGAATGTTCAATTGTAGGCCCAATTTGAGGAAGAGATCTATGGCTTCAAAAGTTACCCATGAAGTGACCCTTCAGCAGCCAATCATCCAGGTAAGAGGCCACTAAAATACCTTTCCTGCGGAGCTGAGCCACTACTACTGACATGACCTTCAGAAAGACCCTTGGGGCAGATGACAGGCCAAAAAGGAGCATCCTGTACTGAAAGTTGTCCTGGCCAATAGTAACACATAGGAATCATTTGTGAGATGGGTGGATCGCAATGTGGAAATATGCATCCAGAAAGTCAAGGGCTGAGAAACAATTCCTTTGATCTAGTGACAGAATTATCACCTGCAAATGTCATCATTTTGAATTTTGGTGCTTTCACATAAGTGTTGAGTAACCTCAAATCTAGGATGGGTCTCTAACTGCCATTCTTTTTTTGGTACCAGGAAGTACCTTAAATAAAATCCCTTTCCTCTGTGCTGCATGAGAACTGGTTCTATAGCACCCAAGTATAGAAGAGAGTCCATTTCTACACGAAGCAAGCTCTCATGAGAGGAGTCCCTAAAGGGGCATTGGGCAGGAGGGTTGATTGGTGGAAGGGTCGTAAAGTGGGTGGAGTACTCTGGGAAGATGACCTCCAAAACCCATTTGTTTGTGGAGATAGACTCTGAAACCTGCCTGAAGTGGTAAAAGGTGGTCACTGAAGGGAGGAAGACAGCTGAATTGGTGCAGCTGGTAAGGATGAGGATGGTCATTCAAGACCTCAATCAGCCCATCAAAATTGCTGCTTGGAGCTGGAAGGGTACAAGGTCAAAGGCTGAGAGGTGGATGGTTTCCGTCTCTGGAATTTTAGTCTCTTTTGATGTGATTCATACAACCTCTAGGAGGTTGGGAATTGCACAGGATGGGATCTCTGAGCCGTCTGTGTCTTGTAAACCTTCTCTATACACCTGCCTATAAGAGAACGCAAACTAACCCTGGAGTCCTTTAACCTGCTCAGAGATTCATCTATACTATCTGCAAACACTTTAGACCCACTGAAAGGGAAGTCTTCCACTGTATTCTGGACTTCTTTTGGAAATCTGGAGCCAGAAGTCCCTCTCACAATTACCACCGTAGAGATTGAATGGGTAGCAGTATCAGCAGCACAGAGTAAGGCTTGTAGTTAAGTTCTGGAAGGCAGCTGGCCGTCCACAATAAATTGCCTGGAATTGCTCTCTACACATTGCCAGTAAGCAGTCAACAGAAGATTGCAGCTTGGTGCAATTTATATGATATTTCACCATTAATGTCTAGTACTTGGCAATTCTAAATTGTAAGGAGGCTAATTAATAAGATTTTCTACCAAGTAGGTCTAAATGCTTCTGATCTTTGTCATAAGCATAGATTTAGTGTAGTGCTGCCCCCATTTGTTAACTGTATCGACCACAAAGAATTAGGAGAGCAATGAGAAAATAAAAACCTCAAGTGTTTTGCTAGAAAGTAATATTTCTTATCTGCGCTCTTGCATGTAGGTGAAATAGTAGATGAGGTGTGTCCAGAAGGGCCACGTTGATGGGCAAGGCTACGCGGGCAAATGAGACTGTCTGAAAGATGTCAAGCAGCTTATGGTTCTTTAACCTCAAGAGGGATCTGCAAGGAGTCAGCAATTTTCTTGACCAGATCCTGAAACTGCTTAAAATCATTCTCCAAGGATGGAGGACAAGGCATAACTGCTTCATTCGGAGATGAAGAGGAGATGTTGGTCAGAAGAGAGACCTCCTTCATCAATTCCATCTTCCTGCTCCTCAAAGGTTTCTTCTTGAGGATCAGGTCACCTAGTGAGGTCAGCAGATGAAGGCTGCCTATCTCTGAGCAACAAAGAATTGGGCACCTCAGCCAGGTCTTGGGGAAAAACAAAACTCCTGAGGTAACAAGCATGCTGTTGGTACCGAGTCCGTGGTTTGCAGAGAGGTACTGTGAATCTTGTCTGATACAAGAGAAATGCAGTAGGAACCCAAGCAGGCTTCTTTGATAACAAGGAAGCAGAGGAAGAGCTATTCTTGCCACCTTGGTCTGCCGATGGTCCCAACGATCCCTCCACACCCGAGGTTTTGCCATCTTTCGGCTAACAATGCCCTGGGTACCTGAGGAACCAGCAGCCTCAAAGGTACCAGACTGGAGAGCAGAACATGCTGACCTGGTTGAAGACTCCAACAACCTCGTCTTTTTTGAGGTCGATTCCCTACCTGGTGAACTCAGGGCATGATCTTTGGAAGACTTATGAGAGGTCTTCCTCTTAGATGCCCTCGAGGAGCATGGCTTAGAAATAGTGGAGGCAGCAGACTTGCTTGGAGACTGGTGTACAGGAGGGGTCCCTTGGCCTGGGTCAGAAGATGGATGCAGCGAGCTCACTGTAATGAGGAGATGAAGTTTGATCTCCCTTTTTTTTCTGGCTCTAGATTTCAATGTCAGACAGAAGTTACCCTTCTGGGAATGTGCGATTCCCTGAGACAAACGATGCACTGGGAGTACCCATCACTTACCAAGATTGCCTCCTGGCACGACAGACATTTGAAACTAGGAGAACCAGGTATAACCTCCCTGTGAACAAGAACTACCTTACCTACTCACTAACATCTATCTATTTAATATATGAGAAGTTTTTCTTCTTATAATTTTTTTTAAACTAAGAAGCTAAAGCTACTACTGCTTATTAACTACCGGTAATTACACTAATACTAAGACCTACTATAAGTGAAGCACTAGAGTAAAAACTGGGACACAGCTGAAGTAATCTCAACAGGGACAACTGCCAGAGCTCCATCTCAGGCTGAGGCAGTTGCAAAGCAACTGAGGGCGGTTTGCTTGTGCACTGCTACGTAGCAACTTACAGGATATGTCACAAACTAGCATGCATGCACAGGCCGAACGCACATTGCTATGAAAAGTCTCCAATCAATAGCACAGGGGATGCAAGTGCACACATAGGACACTACTCAAAGAAGAATAACCCATTATTTATAGAACAAAGGACTAAACTGTATGCTATATACAATTATTTTTAATTAACCATGCCTTAAAATTAATTTAAAAAATAAATTCAGAAACACTGAATGAATCCAAAGTCCTAAATAGGACCTTTTTGCATTTTAAAGGATGCTTAAGAGGAAAAATTCTGCCCTCAAAATCACACACAACTCTCTCTGAATCCAATTAAAATTGTGCACAGGTGCACAAGGGTAGAATTTCATCCTTCAAGGAATTCTTTCCCAAAATCTAGAGTTGATCGTATCTGATAATTGGACCAGGTGTTTCAATTCCCTGTACCACAGAGGGATTTCATGTATTGAATTTAAAAACACATTCATATACAGGATCATATTCTGAGCTCCTACGATGAACAGAAATCCCGTTGAATCCACTGAAAATTGTACACGTAGATGAAGGGCAGGATGGCCCATAGTATATAAATTATTCAAAATAAATGATTTGTTCTGAGAAAAACTACACCTAATTTTACAATTAATGTTTATTTTATCAAACGAGACCTAAAACACAAATTCTAAGTGACTCATGAGTACAGTTCCATATGCAATATTCTAGCACCATACAATGATAGGACAGCAACTGTACAAAATTTTGCTACAGCATGGAGCCCCAAGGGCTCAGATAAGTCCGTTTTTATACTGTTGTGTGTGTTGTTTCAAAGTATGTTCTTTACTGTGTAGAGTCTGGGTATAAGTGCCTTTAGGCTAAGGGAAATATTCAGTACTTACTACTGCAGTAGACAGAATTCGGAGATTTTATTTGCAGTTCACGTTTAATTAGGGTTGCCAATTTTGGTTGACCATATTCCTGGAAGTTTCATTTCATGACATAATCTTTAATTAAAGATTAATCTTGAATTCCTAGAGACTCCAAGACAATCTTAGAGGGTTAGCAACTCTACGTTTAATAGGCATACAGTGGACGGAAGAAGAATGTGTAGCAGGCAAGAGATCAAGCAGCTCCAAATCCACTTTAAATTGTCTGCATCATTCACCACTTTCCCAAGATCATTTTCATACCTCAGGTTAACAGGCACAACTCTCACTGATTCAACTAGTCACTACAGAATACCAGATTAGTATACTCAGTTTGCAAACTAAATGAATGCTAAAATCAGTGCAAATTACACTGCTTTGCCACTTGTACCCACCTACATCCATTTGCTGATCAAGTTACATCTGCTATGTTATTTAAATTACAATTTATGTCCACTGTTTCAACCCTGTATTTTTACTTTGAAACCACACGTCTTCACACACAAAGGCATTTGAGAACAAGTTCATAGCAAGTTTTAGAAATTTTACTAAACCATTTTTTGCATCATCAGAGCAAAAAAATTCTGAATTCCTTCATTAACTTGACAAAAAATGCTGCTTCGTCTTGCTTTGAGAACTCAATGTAGTCAATGTAATTTAACCCAATTTAAAAATAAAATGCTGTTTGGTGTGAAAAACAAGTATCAGAAATTTAAACCTAAAAGAATTATTCTTCATTAAATTAGAGCCATCTGAAAATAGTGGCTTATAAAGAAAGTGCCTACTCAACTAACATGATACTATTGCAACATGATTCTATAATGTCAATTTAGTAAAGTAATGGCTTAATATGAAATGTAGCAACATATTTCCCTCTAGAAAATTGCTTTTATTCTTAATATTTAACTTTATATGAAGTATCCATTTGCCCAGTGGGCAATAATCCAACAGAACAGAACAGTTAAACTCCAAAATGAGACTAGTTATAATATTCAGTTTTAGGGATAGAAATTTCTAATAATTCTGCTAATAAAAGTTTAATTTAATGAGAAAATATACTTCTGCAATAAAGAATTTTAAGCAGAATATTCTTTGCAAACCAAAATATTATCAACATAAGAAACATAACAAACAAAACTGACTACTACATTCTAAGCATTACTCTAGTTTGACTCATTTAACTATAAAAAACCTTACCTTTAGGTTTAGGTGGCAAAGGATTTTCATATAAAATCTGTTCAATTAATTCAGAAAAGCTTTCAGAGAAGAATGGAGGTCTTCCTATAAGTATAAGTAGATTCACTTAATTCTACCGAACTTGATTAAACTGCAAAATAATTGTTACTAAATAATCTCATTCAAGAAGCAAGTATTGTCAATCTGAACTCAATTTAACAAATTAATGTCAGTTTAAATACAAATACCCTTGGTGGTGAGAGCCAGTGAGCAATGAGGAATGCAGAACAAAACATGGGCAGGACATCCATTAAGAATGCCCCTTCATGTCTTGTGTCCCAAAATGGGTCTCCATGGTAGCCCCAGATGCCAGCAGAGTGGATAATGAGGACAGCAAGCCCCACATCTATGTTAATCCAATAGGCTAGCATACTGTGTACGTTGCCACAGGAAGACTGGGCTACAACCCTGCAACCTAGTTTGAAGGAGATTTCACCTTCCCAGATGCTCCCTTCCCGCTCCCCTTCCCCTTCACTAAGCCAAAGTAGTGCAATTTTAAAGGTAAAATTCACTTTAGCTGTTTAAAAGAACAAATTAATGCATTTGGTAAATTGTTTTAATGCTTAAGAGCATAAAACCCTTGAATGATAGAATGGGAGCTCAAACCTTTATTATAATTTAGCAAATTATAATTCTGAGCACTAGAGGCAGTTAAAACCATATATTATAATTATACTATAACTCAGATCTTAGTGACATTAGCTCAGTTGATTATTTTACAAAGTTCCTAAATAATTGGAAATCTTTATAGTGTACCAAAAACTCATTTTTCCAAATTATCACAAATGTCAGATAGATAGAAACACAACCTGAAAACATTTCGTAAAGCAAACAGCCCAATGACCACAGATCACTAGCTATGGAGAAGTCAGCTCCCTTTATTGCTTCTGGAGCGGTGTATACAGGCGATCCTACAAAATAAAACACATATAAGGCAACTTGGACTATCCATTCAGCATTTATACAATTCAGAATTTTAAAAAACGCCACCGTGTCAATCCTCCCACCTTACCTCTGGTGTATGCATTATCTCCATTTAAAGATAAATGCTGAACCTCAGTTTCCCTAAGTACTTGCTCAGTGGCACAAAGAATGTCAATGTCAGATTTGGGATAGAAAGTCAGGAATCTGAATTATAGTCCTGTGATCACAACCTTACCTCTCATTAGACAACTATCCTCACTTCATTCTGATATACCTTTTCAGTGGGATTGTGGAAACTATTTTGTTGTTTATATTTCTATTTCACTTCCTATTTCACTACACATAACCTGAGAAGAACATCTACTTTTTTGTGCTGAAATTTTTTAATGTACCTAGAGAAAGGTCCAAGTCAGAGACGATGCCCAGATTAGGGGATGGAGTGATGGACAGAATTGTGGTATTGTCCACAGTGATTGAGAAAGGAAGTAGGGGAGGGGGCTTGAACTAATGACTAAACATCTATAAGAAGATGTCTGAGGCCTTGGCTACACTTACCCGCTAGTTCGGCGGCTGGCAATCGAACTTCTGGGTTCGACTTATCGCCGTCGACTTGCGGTACTCCAGCTCGGCGAGAGGAGTACCGCGGAGTCGACGGGGGAGCCTGCCTGCCGAGTGTGGACCAAGGTAAGTTCGAACTAAGGTACTTCGAACTTCAGCTACGTTATTCACGTAGCTGAAGTTCCGTACCTTAGTTCGAATTAGGGGGGTAGTGTAGACCTGGCCTGAGACAGAGGTTAAGATTTTAGTTTGGACAGATGGAGACAAGAATGAAGAAGAGAGGCAGATCTGTGAGTCATCAGCATGGTCACTGGTAACTGAATTTGTGTTTACAGATGAGATTACCAGAGATCAAGTTTAGAGGGAGAAGCGAAAGGGACAAGGCATGAGCCCTGTGGAGCCCGCATAGAAAACTGGCAGGGGAATGAGGCTAATCCCCTAAAGGGCACTCTGAAGAAGCAGTAAGAGAGGTTGGAGGAGAACCAGAAGAGAACTGAGTCATGGAAGCCAAGGGAGGTCAAAATTTCAAGAAGAGAACATGGGTGATGGAGTCAAAGGTAGCTGACAGGTCAATGAGGACAGAGTGCAGATTCTGAGCTTTAGCTAGGAAGACATCACTAGAGACTTTGGCGAGAGTGGTTTCAGTGGACTGCAAGGAGCAGAAGCTTGATGGGAGAGGGTTTAGGATGGAACTCCGGACAACAATTGCAGGTATATGGTCAATGAACTAAGACAAACGGGGGAAGGGAGATGGGGCAGTAGTTGTCTGGGTTAAAGAAAAGAGTAAGGAAGGAGATGAGAGAGAAGGCAGACCAGAAGATGGGTTGGGGTCACTGAGCCAAGAGGTCAGGTTAGAGAACAGACAAGAAGCTTCTGCATCTGTGATGGGGAGAAGGAGGAGAGAGTTGTGGGAGGGATGGGAAGGTCACATTGTATTTTGTCAGTTTTCTCTTGGAAGAAGTCAGCAAGAGCCTGTAGAGAGAGAGAAGTGGAGGCAGAAGGAGGGGATGAGAGATAGATATATATATATATATATATAGACCATTTATAGTGGTTTGCCTTTGCGGTTTTTCCACCTTTCTTTGAAGCATCCGATACTGAATAGTCTACTTAAATACTTTTTATAATATGCCTGAATATAAATCATGAATAATGTTTCATATACAAAAGATATAACATACCTGTCTGCCAATTAACTTCAACATAGGAGGAATAAAAATAGAAAGTTTATTATCCATCAGTATTATACCATAGTCACTAAGGGTTACACAAAGTCAACAATTTTTTCAGTTCCATCCTCCTTCAAGAGCACATATTGGTTTCTTTTATCCTTAGGTTTTGGTTTGTAAGAGAGGATAGGTTGTTAACTACACACACACACACACACACACACACACACAATTACAGTCATTCTGATAAAGATATATTGAAGAGGTTGTTGTTTCTTCCTGAATACAGTAGCTTCATCATCATTCTTATTTCTTGCAATACGGAGCTTCATTAAGAAAGAGTGAAATTTACACAAGCAGGAGACAAAACTTATTGTCAATAGTTCACTTGTTCCTAATAAGTATTGTGGTTGTGGCAGATCTGCATTGTGAAGAGAGAGAAGCAGTCTCTGAAATAGTCCAATCCCATAGCATAGAGCAGGGGTTCTCAAACTGGGGGTTGGGACCCCTCAGGGTTCATGAGGTTATTACATGGGGGGTTGTGAGCTGTCAACCTCCAACCTCCCAAACACCACTTGCCTCCAGCATTTATAATGGTGTTAAATATATTAAAAAGTGTGTTTAATTTATGGGGGGGGGGGTTCGGACTCAGAGGCTTGCTATGTGAAAGGGGTCGCCAGTAAAAAAGGTTTGAGACCCACTGGCATAGAGGGTTTTGAAGATTAAGTACCGAAATTTAAATTTGTTCTCATACTTGGTGGCATCTCAATTACTGCACTTATAATGCATTTGAATGAACCAGACTTTTTGAGTGAAAAGGCTGCTGCATTCTAGAACTGCAAAAGTTTCTTTAATGACCAGAGTTGATTCCTAAGTACAAGGCACTGCAATAGTCAAGCCTATTGTAAAAAGAGATGTTTCACAGTTGCCAGGTCAGCATCCAGTGGGAGGATGGAAAGTCTCCTGGCCAGTAACAGATGGAAGAATATACTTCAAGCCACTGTTACTAAATGGATACCCAATAGCAGTTTGAAGTCCGTATTGAGGGCACTAGCAGCCCAAGTTGTTTTTTTAACTGAGATTCCTAGTAGCTTCATATATATGTTAAACGAAAGGGTGACTGAATTAACCCTGTCATACCCCACTGGCGAGGCCCTTTGATTATATAACTACCTATCCCAAATTAACTTCCAAGTTCTCTGAGATGTAAATGGAGCACACATACTCTAAATCAACTCCACCTCCTACTAGTGGTAGGATCGAATGTGATACCATAGATCATAGGGTGTTGCTACTGAAGGCACCTGACAGACTTTAAAAGTATCAGCATAGACATGCTGCCTTAACCTTGGCTAGGAGGACAGCACAGTCCCAGTCCACCAAAGCCTTTTCTTCACTGCACTCTGGGAAGCCCAGTATGCAAGTTCTCTCTGCTGTCCAACTGAGCGAGACATATCTTTACTTCATTCCAAGTATGGAAAACATGGAACGATGAAATATGCAAAAGAATCCTGAGGGACGTTACCAAGGTTCTGTCAACTGGAGTTCAGTGAGTTAGAGAAGTATTTAACATAATTTTTAGGGCTGTTGACTAATTGCAGTTAACTCATGCAATTAACTCAAAAAAATTAATCATGATTAATCGCAGCTTTAATTGCACTTTTAAACAATAGAATACCAATTGGAATTGATTACATATATTCTCACTGTAAAAAAAGAAATAGTATTTTTCAATTCCCCCATTACAAGTACTGTAGTGCAATCTCTATCATGAAAGTTGAACTTACAAAGGTAGAATTATGAACAAAAATAACTGCATTCAAAAACAAAACAATGTAAAACTTTAGAGCCTAAAAGTCCACTCAGTCCTATTTCTTGTTCAGCCAATCACTCAGACAAACAAGCGTGTTCACATTTGTGGGAGATAATGCTGCCCGTTTCTTGTTTACAACGTCACCTGAATGTGAGAACAGGCATCCTCATGGCACTGTTGTAGCTGGCATCGCAAGATATTTACATGCCAGATGTGCTAAAGATTCGTATGTCCCTTCATGCTTCAACCACCATTCCAGTGCAAACATTTCTAATAAATAATATAAAGTAAGCACTGTACACTTTGTATTCTGTGTTGTAATTGAAATCAATATATTTGAAAATGTAGAAAACATCAAAAATATTTAAATAAATGGTATTCTATTATTAACACGATGAATCGTGCTAGTAATCGTGTCTAATTGCTTGACAGCCCTAATAATTTTATATCATGATCAGATGGGTTAGAATTGATTTTCTGTCCTCCCATTTAAACAGATTTGATATCTCCTTAGCCACATCACGTAGGCAAATATACCACACAATGATGTTTGGTCCTCTTTAGAAGATTTTAATTTAAAGAAAAAACAAAAACAAAACAAATCTGCTGAAGGGACTATTTTTTATGTTCTACTGATTGTGGAGTGCAAAGTTTAATCTCTTAAGGATAAAGATCTTCTGTTTATTAGGCACATTTGTGCCTATAATTAGTTAATGCTACTTATTTCAGTACTTCTCAGAAGCTGTACATTATTGGCAACCTCATAACATCTTCCCTTGCTTTACCATAGTTCCAACCGTCATTTCCACATACACCAGCTTTCACCACATCGCTGGAGCTCAACAGGCTCTAAATAAAGAATCGCATTTTGCTGTGTTAGCAGTCATCTAAAATGGATTTATTTATATTTCTATAGATGGTGCTCCATATACTAGGTACCCCCATATGAAAGTTCAAATGGTTACTCTAAAAGTTTACAAAATCATACGGTTTGCACTTAATCGAGGAAATGAGAAATGTATAAATAGCCAACTCTATTTTAGTTTTAGTTTTCCCATTCGTCTGTATCAAATACAGAAGCACAACCTAAAATAAATAATAAACCAACCAACCCAAATTTAATAAGAGTTAATTTTTCTAGTTAATTAAGCCTTTTGCTCCATTTAAAGTCTGTTATCCATCTGATCATTTTGTTTTAAAAACGACTCCTGAAATTGGTTTATTATTTTAAAGAAAAAAAGAAAAAAATTGAAACAGCAGCACACCAGCCATTGAAATTATTGAAAACTCACCAATGCCAGTGGGAAATGACTGAGAGCTGTATGTTTGTACAGTAAAAGTTGCATTTCAGAGATGTGATGTTACATCTACAACACTCATTGTAAAAACCAACCACTCTCACTTGTACAGCCACACTAAGTTTATATAATTACAGTAATATTAATTCAGCTTCACTGTTCCTATACTTGAATACCTTGATCTGGGCTTCAGTTCAAGGATACCTTGAAGACTATTCAGAACAGGCACACTAAAATGATAATACAGTCTTTATTACTTCTTATCACAGATGTATGTTATGCTGTATGTTTGCTAAACTTGGTTTTGTATTGTTATGAAAGTTGAAAACATGACTATGTGTACGTAAAAATCTGTTTCTTCTCTATGTACCTGTCACACATCACTTAAAAGTGCTGGCTAGCAATCTTCCCTGTACTTAAGGATACCAATGATGGTCTGTGCTACCAAAATCTTGCTTACATGAGACTAGGGATAGGTCTACACTGGAGCTAAAAGCTGTAAATTCCAGCTTGAGGAGACATACCTGCACTAGCTTTGATTGAGTTAACATGCTAAAAATTGAAGTGTAGCCACAGCAGCGCAAATGGGGGAGGGACTAATTATCCCCAGCATGAACCTATGGTCTCAGACAGGATTGGACTCTGAGCAGCTTGCCGCTCCTGCCACTGTGGCTACACTTCTATTTTTAGTGCATTAGCTCAACCAGAGCTAGCATGGGTATGACCCCTCAAGCTAGAATGGGAGCTGCGGGAAGCGGTGGCCCGGCCTGCGCCGCTTTCTCGCAGCTCCCATTGGCCGGGAACAGTGAACCGCGGACACTGGGAGCTGTGAGCAGCTGTACCTGCAGATGCTCAGGTAAACAAAGTGTCCCACAGCCCACCAGGGGCTTACCCTGAACAAGCCGCAAACCAAATTTGGGAACCCCTGACTTAAGCTAACGGTAGCATTAATTACAATGGGGGAGAAGAGATAAAATAGTCACCTGAAGCAATAGCTGTATGTACAGATAACTTAGTAGTAACTTATTTAACAATTGCCTTTCACAATTAAATTTTATGTGCTCTGATTTTCGTAACAGGTAGTGTAGCTTGTTTTGTGGTTTGTACCATATGCAAATTCCCATAATGTTTCCCATTACATTGTCAGACACTGTCAAAACATTTTATTTTGTTTAGTTCTAAAAAAAACAAGCATTCTTAATTCCTGCATCCAAAAAGAATAGTTACAAAAGACCACAATTTTAAGTTTATGGCAGAGAAAATAAGACCCCGTCCTCTCAACAGGATTTAAAATCAAAACATTTTTAAAACATTTCATTATGCCTCACTGAGTTTAGTTAATTTTGACTGGATAAAATATATACTATATGCTGTACCTTTGAGTTTATTTTTCATGTTTCTTTGTGGAGTGCTTTCACAGCCATCACCATCTCCTTCCTCTGATCCAATTAAAGCAAAAAATTCTTCCAAATTTTCACCCTCTGCTTTAGCCAGGCAAAAATTATTGAACTTCAGTGTGCCAGGCCCTTCCAGAAGTATCTACAGAGGTAAACAAAAGTGAACACCAAGTTGTTTCTCTTACATATAAAGGACTGTTTCAAGAAGCTGAATTTTCCAGTCCAACCTATCTAAGATTGCAGTTTTGATCAAGTCTCATTACCATTAAAAGTATTTATATGGCCCTGTAGTGGGGCAGCTTCCCCACTCCTGTAGAACAAGGGTTAAAAACAGCCCTGGAGACGGCTGTGGCTGTGAAAAAGGCTAGGCTAGATTGGGGAAGGAGCCACAGCTGTGGCCACGGCCCAATCAGGCCACAGCTCACCCTATAAAAGGGCTGTGAAACAGGAGCTCAAAGAAGAGACTCTCTCTAGCTTCTGAGAGAGAAGGACTGGGCTGCCTGGGAGCTGAGAAGGGTACCTGAGGTGGAGCAGTGCTGGGCAAGGGCAGAGGGAGCTGAGGAGCTCCAGCCTGGTAAAACCCCAGCCTGCAGGCCCTGCTAAAAGGCCAGAAAGGGTACTGGGGCTGCAGAGAGACAGCCCAGACATAGGCAAAGGCAGCAGGTCCAACCCCCCCTTGCCGATGATGAGTGATTTACAGACTGCGGTCTGCCCCAGTGAGCGGGGGCTAGTCAGTGACTGGCAGTAGCCACTGAGGCAAGGTGGGGATAGAGGTTCCCCTGGATGGGAAGACCCAGATTATGGGTTACTGCTGGAGCAGAACCCTGATGTAAAGGGCACAGGGGTCCAGGAGGGACATGGGGCCAGCGGCAGGCGAGACACTGGCCTACAGAAGGCGCTCTGGGCTAGAAGAGCTAATTCCTGAGATGACCAGCAGGAGGTGCCACGCCGGTGAGTCTCACCCCATCACAGGCCCTCAACACAGTAATAGCTGAATGCCTCCCACAAGGGGCGGGGTGGGCAGGGGGGGGGGGCGGGGCGGGAGAGGGACTACAATGACCTCCTTTTTTCATAGCCATCAAAAGGTGGTTTTTTTATTTTAGACAGATCTGGGCAGAGGGCTTTTTGGTTTTGTTTTAAATGAGCCTGTGACAATGAAGAGGATATCGTGGGAAAGCATGGAGAAAGGTTTTGCACTTGCTCTGCATGCAGCAAGTTAGCATTCATTCTTGGTTCCAAAATCTTGTTCCAGCTCCTGTGAAGGTTCCATCTCCTGAAGTCATCAGTCTCCTCTACTGGTCAACAGCTATGTTGTTTTAGTGGAACATAGCTGTCATGGGAGGTTGTGGTTACACAGAAAGAGGCAATATCACAATAGCCTATGCAGGACTCTGAAAATAAGGATGGCTACTTTGAATTGGACTACATGTTCAAAGGAGTAATTACCACATACATTACTCTGCAGCAAAGAAAAAGTGATGCATCTTTCAACATGTGTGCATATTAAAGTTTGTTAGACTAGGGTTTAAAATATTTAACGTTTAATTTCCAAAATATGGAAGCTAGAGTTGACTAAAAGGATTATCCACATAGCAACCAGATTCTGAGAAACATTTTACCTATTCATCAACCTGACTTAACAGTAAATTAGTAGCTTTAAAGAAAATACAAGCTTTCCAATTCTGTTGTATTCCATTCATGTCTCAATGTCCTGCCATCAGATACACAAATGGGCAGCACTATATTTCTTATGAAGTCATCTACTGACTTTGCGCATACATCCACAGTAGCTAAATTTTACAAGAAACTTGGCAATGCAGAAAATGTCATCACACAGTAGAGAGTCCGATCGAGAGCAGAGTCAATATATTAAGCAAAAATAAAAATGTTTATTGTGGTCATACTTCGATTCACTATGCACATTTTAGGAAAAACATGAGGGTTTTACTAGACTAAACTCAAACTAGGGAAAGATGGGCAGTCCTGTTTTAGGAAACAATTACAATAGGTTGATCATTCATTTATGCAACGTTTGGTAACAACTTCCCATGGAGTTCTCAAAGCAGACAACCAACTTTAGTCTCCAATTGCTATTTTACACAATAATTTATGTACTATAGGCAGTATTAATTTTGACTAAGTCATTGTTTTTTATACTGACTTTTTTTAAAGTTTTAAAATATTTTGTGTCATGAAGGATTACCAAGACACTAAGAAATATGTGGTTTCCTAGTGTAGACAGGGTATGACAGAATGATTCAAAGCTATAAAAACAATGGGACTCCTAAATGAATAATGAAAATCCTGTATTGACTCATCTTTTTATGCTGCAGCATGGAAGCAGATACTATACTCTCAGACACTCATTCTCAGCTGCAGAGTGATACAGCAGAGAGAAAATAAACTTATTAGACTGTAAGGTATTCAGGACATACACTTGTCTCTTACTATGTTCATGCACAACACCTGGCCTCCAACCTTGAGTAGGGCCTCTGGATATTAGCATAATACAAATAATAATTTCTGAAATTGTAATGATATCTTTGACATAATATAAGATGTTACTCATTACCTTTCCAGGTGTGAGTTCACAGAAGATAATTCCAAGGTCATGAATGTGATGTAATCCAGTAACCAAATCAATACCAAATTCTCTCACCACATCTTCAGGTAGATGTTCATCTTGCGCAACAACCATTTCTAGTGAACCACCTGAAATGTATTCACACAGAATCCCTTATGACAGTTGTATATCAAGAAAAGGCCAGACCAATAGTCTACTGTGATATTACAGCCTCTTAAAAGAAAAAAAGTTAAAAGGAAAATACAAAACAATTGGAAAAAAATAAATGTTTGCCTATCTTCAATTGCTTTGTGACTCTCCAACAGCCACAAGTTTCAAAATGTATATAAAATAACCTATTACTTGTCAGCACTAAAGGACTACTTCACCCAGTTGTTTCTGGCCTCTGGAAAAACTGGGGCATGGAAACATTATTCTCATATACTCACTATACATCCTCTATACGGAATCACTGAAACATGGGCAAATTTTGAAAATAAGACCCATGTCATCTAATTTGTCTATATAGATCACTAAAACTGAAAAGAGTTCACCACTAACATCAATAATGACCACTTCTGTCAAAGAGTTCCTATTTTATGAAGAAGATCGATTTCCCACTCTCTGCCAATTCTCTACATTTATTTACATATTTTAGTACTCAAACGAAATTATAACCCTGCATACATCTATGTAGCATTATTTATATCAGACTTCACCTTTTATACAATAATCTTCAGCTTTTTCTAGAGCAACATTACCGAAAAGTGACAGACCAAACAATTCCATTTAATTTTCATGAACAAATGGATTTGTTTAGTTATACCATACCATTAACTTATTATGGTAATGACCATAAAAGAAGGTTAACATTATACTGGGGGTTTTTTTTGTTTTTTTTGGGGGGGGGGGGTAATTAGAATGTTACAAGAAAACTCTTCTTCAGAAATCAAGATGGCTTTTAACTGTTTATATTCTACCTATGGCCATATTTTTATTAATTCTTTATTAAAATAAAAATAATTCTATTCTATAACATCTCCTCTAAGACTTCAGAAGTGGAATGTCTTCCTGTGAATTCTTCCAAAACTAGAGAGATATTAGCTTTATATACAATTTATTAGTATAACTGTCTAGAGAACAATAACTTCAAAAAGTTATATTGTAAAATCAGTAAGAAATGGTTACTTATTAATAACTGGTTCTTCAAGATGTGATGCAGAAATGTATTCCACTTAAGTATGGGCATGCACACACCTAAGTGGAATACACAGCTGCATCTATTCTAAGAAGAATTAATGTTAATGTATCTACAGCTTTGGAACAGCTCTTGCAGCAGTGTGCCAGATGAAATGGGGCTCAAGACCTGAGCACTTTCAAAGTGCTAATGTACTCTGGTCTATCTCCAGAGGCAAGGGATCCCTTGTAAAGAATTTGAAGAGAATCAAAATCAGAGAAATGAAATTAGTGGATTCAGTTGTTCTTTTCTTTTACCTCCCCCACGCCACAATTCCTTAAGTGAACTTTATACCATGAAAGAAGTTGGATTAGAAGCACTGAAGAATGAAATTATCTATCCACCGAATAGATACAGTATAGGTAGCAGTAGTGGCAAGTTTACTACACTGCCCTGCCAATGTGCACCAAACCTATCCAGAAAAACAAACAAACAAACAAAAAACACTTCTTGACATGAGAGAGTACTTTACCAAAGGTGTCAATTAGCATTAGGTGTGACAGCGGTCAGTAAGGCTCTATTGTTTGCCAGAGATTTGAAGAATTTTTTTTAATCAACTGCATTGCAATAAGCAAATTTTGCTGCTTTTATTAGACTATTTCTGACTTCCAATTAGAAATCAGTACATGAGAGGTCTGAAGTAATGGATACATTTAAGGTTCCAATGCTGCAAAGACATATGTATGTGCTTAACTTTACACACAGCAAGTAGTCCCACTGGCTTCAATGGGACCACTCACATGCATTAAGTTAAACACTGAGCAAACGTTTACAGGATTGGAGCCTAATTTACTTTCTACTATTAATTTTATGCTTTCAAAACTACATACATATAAACCATACACAAAAAGTTATGTTAAAAAGCACAATAAGACTGCAGTCAATCACTTAAAAGTTTGGAACTGCTAGAATTAACCTTATTTCAGCCCCCTTCTGCATATACAGGTACATTATGATTAAGGTTACGTTTTAGTCATGGGCATTTTTAGTAAAAGTCATGGACAGGTCACGGGCAGTAAACAAAAATTCACAGCCCGTGACCTATCCATGACTTTTACTATTTACCCTTAACTTGGGCCGGGGCCCCCGGGTGCTCGGGGTGGGGGATGGGAGGGGCCGTGGGCTGGAGGCACTGTGGGTGCTGGGGGCATGGCCCATGACTCCTGTTGGTGCAGGGGATGGGGGGGGGGAAGGGAAGGAGGGGAGTTGGCAGGACTGGTAATATCCCTACCCGGCTCAGCGTGTCTCTGCAGCTCCTAGCAGGAGGGAAGGCCAGGGGATCCGCGCGCTGCCCCCGCCGAGCTCCGGTTCCGTAGCTCCCATTGGCCGAGAACCGCAGCCAATGAGAGCTGTGGAGGCAGTGCATGCAAGTAGGCACAGAATGCAGAGCCCCCTCAGCCTAGGGCAGGAGTTGCAGTGTCATGCTGGCCGCTTCCAGGGAGCCTCCCCGAGAGGTGAAAGTGGGCCAGTGCAGCATACCGGTCAGAAGTGGCCGCTGGTACGGGCCTGTAAGCAGCCGACGGAGGGGGGGAGAGGGGGGAGGGAAGGAGGAACAAAAAGGGCAGCTGCTCTGGGGCCCCAGCGATTTGAAAGGGCCTGATGCTCCCGGCAGCTGTTGCTGCTCTGGGGCCCCGCAAGCTCCAGGGCAGCCGTGTGGCAAGGGACTGAATCAGGCAGCCGGCCCGGTCCGTGTGGCAGTGGATCCTGTCCCTGTGGCCCAAGTTATGCATTGTGAGCCACATATGCGGTCCATAATGTGTAATATGTTGAGAATCACTGAGTTATACAAACCTCATATTGGGCCTGAAAGAGATAAAGGACAATACTGAGCCCACATAGCCCCACCCTTTCAAATACAGGCGCCAGCTTCCAATTTTCCCCAGGAGTGCTCAACCACCACTCAGCCCCAGGCCCTGTCCTCACTCCACCCCTTCCCCCAACCTTGCCTCTTCCTGCCCCAGGCCTGGCCCCCACTCCATCCCTTCCCCCAAGGGTACGCCCCTTCCCACCCAGTCCCACTCCCTCCACCAAGCACGCCCGTACCCACTCCTCCACCTCCCTCCCTCCCAGCACCTCCTGCACACCATGGAACACCTGATCTGTGGTGGGTAGGAGGTGCTGGGAGGGAGGGGGAGGAGTTGATCAGCGGGGCCACCCGCGGGTGGGGAGCTTGGCTGCCGGTAATTTTTTTCTGTAGGTGCTCCAGCCCTGGAGCACGCACAGAGTCGGCGCCTATGCCTCCAGACCTGCAGAGCATGCTCCAACTGGAAAAGAAGTTTAAACGAAAGCTCCCCAGTTCAGTCAAGGAGAGGAAAACAGACCTACGCTAAGGGATCCTGGACAAGGGTGCTGAAGAAGTCTCCCTGTGAGACCAATAAGGGACCAATAAGGGGAGGACCAATAAGGGGAGAAGATACTTTCAAATCTGTGGAGGAAGGTTTTTTGTCTGTGTCTCCCAGAGTCAACAAGGAACCAGGGCAGGGAAAATACATCTCCCTAAGTCATATCTAAGCTAAGCATCTAATATTGCAGAAATAGTAAGTAATAGCAAAGAAATGCGTTAGGTTATCTTTTGTTTTAGCTTGTGAATTTTCCCTGTGGTAAGAGAGAGGTTTATCCCTGTTTTTGTAACTTTAAAGTTTTGCCTAGGGGGAAATCCTCTATGTTTTTGAATCTTTTGTTATTCTGTAAAGTACTTACCATCCTGATTTTACAGAGGTGATTCTTTTACCTTTTCTTTAATTAAAATTCTTCTTTTAAGAACCCAATTCATTTTTCATTGTTCTTAAGATCCAAGGGTTTTGGTCTGTGTTCACCTGTACCAATTGGTGAAGATAATATTCTCAAGCCTTCCCCAAGAAAGGGGGTACGGGGCTTGGGGGAATATTTTGGGGGAATAGTACTCCAAGTGGTCCTTTCCCTGTGAAATAAAATTATTCTACTTAACTGCCAGGGGGCAAATTTGTCACATATACATGGGAGAAAGTAGAAGGGAAACATGCAGCGTCAGCTATGTATAGTTTTAACTCAGGAAGTTCCTTCGAGAGGAAATGTAGCCAAATTCCAACCCTGCAGACAATGGTACTTTCTGTGCCTGCGTCCTGTAGATAACTACCTGCTTGGTTTGCAAAATAACGCAAGGGGGAGGAGGCAAGTAGATGAACAATAAGGAGTCATAAGAGGGCAGATACATGTAGCTTGCTAATTATGTATGGTAATGATAGCAAATTTTGGCCAATCGTAGAGCAATAGATTATCATAGTCAACTGCATATAATACTTTGGTGTAAGTGTTTTCAGGATTCTTGCTGACTTATGAGCTTGAACCCAATTGCAATTGAAATAAACGGATCACCCCTCCGGGGCTCCTTGCTTGACTAGCTGTGTCCATCTCTCCTTATTCCTCAGCTGGAACGGACAGAAATTTCTACTACACGTGATTCTTTGTCTAAATCACTTGGTGGTGGCAGCATACTGTTCAAGGCAAGGTGGAATTTGTGCCTTGGGAAAGTTTTTAACCTAAGCTAGCAAAAATAAGCTTAGGGGGTCTTTCATGTGGATCCCCACATCTGTACCCCAGAGTTCAGAGTGGGGAAGGAACCTTAACAACCCACTAGACCACCTGGCCTTCCGAAGGCTCTGTTACAGTCCTCTTCAGCCCTGGGCTGGAACATGGCTCCATGAGGACAGATTCTTCAGAGAATTTAGCTGCTAAAATTGAAAAAAGTCTCTATCGAGCATGTACAAATTACCATTTTTCAAAAGCTTTTAACTTGATCAAATTTGGGAGAATTTTTACCGGGGCAGCAAGAGGCATATCTTTGATACAAAGGTCACCCCCCCACCAAATTTCAAGACCTTGCTCTAAAGCATGGGGGCATTAGACATTTTCAAATAAAAGGTTGCCAAAATAGTTTATTAATAATAATAATAATAATTTTTCCACTAGCCTCATCCTTGGAAACAACATTTTGGCTGAAATTTCCCCAAAAAATTCAACATGAGGCAGACATACACCATGAGAAATTTCAGCCCAAACAGTTATATGTTGGCAAAATTACTAAAAACTGAAAACAAGATCTGAACTGTCAGACAACTTTAATAAAAGGTGGTGCTTCTAGCACCATCAACAATACACATCCTTCTAAGCAAACATTTTACTGCAGTCTAAAAAAATTCTTGCAGTATCAGGGCACCTTTCTAGTATGGTATAGTGTTTTTAAAAAGATTTACTTCTGTACTTTTATGACAGAAAATATTTAACATAAGAGAAACCTATTTTAGATCAACGTTGAACCCACTGAAGTATCTGGATGTTGATCAACAGTAGCCAATATCTGCTCAACCATTTCCTCCAGATGATAAAAGGAAGAGTATGAGAACTATCTCCGCATTATTTCCCAGATTCCTGAACCTTATAGTGATTTGCTTTATAAATTTGTTTTGTGCTGTTTTAATAATTGATACATTCCTTCAAAACAACTCAGTAACCCCAGAAACTCATTAAATGACAGTACCAAATCCTTAAGCTTCAGTTTTAAAGTTTTGTTTTTAACCACTTTATCTATTTTAGAAGACTGCATAGAAAATAGTCCAACTCAATAGGGCCAAAAATGCAGAGAAAAATATTGGAAGGGGCAGCACAACAAAATTTATACTGGATCTGATCAAGAAAAAAAAATACAGGTCTGTTGCTTCTTAGGCGCATTTAACATGTGTGGTTTCAGCTTTATGCTGTCGTCAAAAACAAAAAAGAGAAAAATAACAATTTAAATACTGTTTCTGTAGTGTGGGCGATTCCGCCCGCCATTACACTCAATGTAATTTTGACTATACGCGATTTTCGCTTTAGGCGCTGACTGTGGAACGTAACCCCAGCGTAAGATGAGACAGACCTGTACTCAATCATGTTATTACAAGAGAGAGATGTTGGATATTCAAAATGGAATCAATTTTCCACACTTCAAAAGCAATTTTCAAACCTGAACAAATTTAATGAAGGACCTAAGGCTTGTTCTACTTTAAAATATGGTAACTAAGATTTTTTAGAAAAATCATGATTATGTTAAGCCTTAGTAGAAACTGTACAATTGCTAGGTAAGAAATAATTAATACTCTCTCTATTTAACAGAAGGCTGCTGTTCAAGGGTGAACATATTTGCAAACAAATTAGACTAGAAAAATATGCCAAAGTTTTCAAACTTAGGTGTATAAAGTTAGTCACCCCACTCCATAATCATACACTTGATTAAAAGTGGCCTGGTTTTGTCAGAAGCGTTGAGAATCTGCAGCCCCCATTTTCAGTGGCATTTGAAGCTTTATAGCACTTCAGGAACAGAAAGTTTCTTTTATTTAGGTCCTTACTAGAAAGCCAACTTTAGGCATCCAAATTTCAAAGTTTGACCTCAGTATCTTGCCCACTTATTTCTCTCAAACATGGAAATAATGCTATCCTAGAGTTCAAACCATACAAGTCATAACAACTGGATAAAGCCCTTCCATAAACCTTTTTTTGATAACATGGAGATAACCTAGTACAGACCAAGGAATCACCCAATTCACAAAGTACAGAGCAGTCCTTGGGTTCACTCACCTCCCAAATTAGTGGCTTAACATAAGAAAGGATGTTTCAAGTCAACTGGAAGAGACGGCTTAATTCATCTAAAACTATCCAGCAGACTCCTCTTTAGATTCAGAAAAAGGAAAATGAAGCAATATCTTCCATCTGGTCAAATTTATGTTTTAGGTTTATTGGCCTATTTTCTATTCTTTTAATTCTACATAAAATATTTAGGAAAGTACCAAAAAGCAGATAGAAATCTAACCTTTCCTTGAACAACTTTTATCTATTCATCCCCTTCAAGAATTCATAGTGGTGCTCTGCAAGTTGCAGCAGTAGCATCACCTGCCAAGCTATTTAAATCCAATTATATTATTTCATATCAATTAACTCTTGAAATACACATTGAAGTGGAAGAGAATACAACTGGAGGCATTTTTCTAGGAATCCAGTTTTAAATTATTTCTATATGCTAACTTTCTACTAAAGTTTCTGAGCTTTCATTTATGTTTTTAACTAGATTGTCAGGAAAAAGTTAAAATTTACATTTTGCATAAACTTTTTTCTGTTATAAATTTATGATGTGAAATTCCCATTTCATATATTTTACTTAGTTAGCATCTCTTACCTGTGCATAATTCCACTACAAGCCAGAGATGGTTGCTTGTTTCATACCATTCATGAAATGTTACTATGTTCTTGTGTCTAATGTCATGTGTAAGACGAACCTGTAACAGAATATTTGTATATTTTATTTGGAGAGCTGCATTCAGATATTAGCGTTTCGGGGGGGGAAATGCAATACAAAGTAATTCTAGATTCCTTTCTCCCTATATTGCTAGCTTTTCAAATGCCACCAAATTTTTAAGAGGTCACATTCCTAATCAAATCATACAATCAGAAATATAGAGGGAAGATACCTTTCGGCACAGGCCTCCCCCAACTTCCCTGTGTTCAGAAGTACAGTCAATTTTCCTCAAACCAGTTCAACTGGTTAACAAAAAACAACAGTTTAAGAAAGAAGGCCAGGGTCAGCATAGCGATCTAGTGACAGAAGAAAACACTCCTATGTTGTAGATCAGAGTTCAGGGTCAAAGTTACGTCCCTAGTTTCTGTGCCAGTAAGAGATGGAAGTGTGAAAGAAGCAGGTACAGTGAGTCCTGGAGAAGGAAAGTTTTCCATCATTCTTGAGTAATCCCCTCTGGCCAACCAAATATACAGAGGTGCCCAGGAGCTACATTTATGTTGAAAGATGGGTTAAGTCCAATAAAATGCGTTTCACAGCTTTGAAGGAGAGGAGGGGAAATGGCAGAAATTTCTCCATTCCCCCTTTTAAAACAAAAAAAAAAAGGAAGAAAGCCTAAATGTGCAACGTCTAGTGTAGTTTGTGGTAGAAGAATTGCTGGATATGCTCAATACAAAAAGTAACAAAATATTCTGAGCATCTTTAACCAAGGATATAGCTTCCTAGTCACTCAGTAAGTGCTGATTATTGAAACAATAAGAGAAAGTACTTAAGAAAAATGTACATATGGGAGAGGAGGAGGCTGGTATTTCAACTGACTTGTATTTTCCCAGTGAATACTGCAGTAACAAAGTAAAACCAATCACTACATTTATGACAGCTTCTATGACCAGCACGAAGTTAACCTCTTATGAGCAGATGTGTTTACATCTGTGCTAAAAAAGGACTGAAATTAAGGTAGGGGCTTCAGGAGGAATCCATGACTTCACATCTACAAAGAAAACCCATTTAAGATAAGGGAATTTGGAAGCTAAAAGCTTAAAACATCGCTATAAATTGACACACATAGAAGGTAGGTCAGGTAATGTCTTTCATTGGACCAACTTCTATTGGTGGAATGTACATGCTTTTGAGCTCCACTAGGGTGACCAGACAGCAACAGTGAAAAAATTGTGACGGGGGTAATAGATGCCTACATAAGACAAAGCCCCAAATATCAGGATTGTCCCTATAAACTCAGGACATCTGGTCACCCTAAGCTCCATAGACCTGAAGAAGAGCTCTGTCTAGCTTGAAAGCTTCTACCTTCCACAAACAGACATTGGTCCAATAATGGATATTATCTCACTTGCTTTGACCAACAAGGCTACAATAACAGTGCAAACAACTAGAAAATTGTGATGAATTAATTGTATGTGAAGTAGTACCTGGTATTCTGTGTGTCTGTATTTATGCTACTGGAAAATTTGTATCTACATTTCCCTACAGAAATAGTAATGAACATTATTCTTACCCAGTTGGTTATTTCAGCTCTTTTGCATTTATCAGTGCAAAGAATAGCAACAAAATTAATAGTGCCTTTTCTTCTTCCTTTATAAACAACTGTCTTGCTTCCTCTTCCAATCTCTTCATATAAAATAAAGTTCTCCATGTTTAAGATGCTTTACATCCAACAAATTAAGAAATGGCTTGTTTTCATCACTAACAAACACCACCTTGAAAGAATGAAATTCAAACATTTCTTAAATGTAAATATGTAATCATTATTTTCTTAATTCTTAAGATATGGCGTTTAATACAAAAAGGTATCATTCATGTGATTAGCAATTATGACTGACCTTACAGAAAGATTATAAACAAGATCTCCCACAACAAAATCTAATCAACATTTTACACATAGGATAATATAAGGGTCATAATATTAAACTCCAAACTGCAAATTCAAAACAAAACAAAGCCCTGTCGTATAAGTACTCTATGGCCATGACATTACTAGGGAATTTTGGTACTACTACTACCAGTTCATCTACCTTGGCACTAGCCCTAATGGAGACAGGGACCCCAGCAGCTTCCAATGTTTTTACCACATCAGTTAAACCTAAGAACCAGTGGTAGCACTTATGAGTGGGAATTTCTTGAAATTCCCTAGTGTAGACAAAGATAATGGGAAGTTACATTTACTAACTGAACTGGTTTTGTGTTTTGAGACTCAAGGCAATTCCACATAAGCTAACTTTTATTTTTCCCCATCAGTTCTATCATTTTCTGACTTAGAAATCTAGATAATACAGTATTATCACTTTCAAAGAAAAATGTACCATTTATTAGTAATCCTAAATGTAGGATCATTTGTACATCAGAAAGAATGTAAGTGGTTCACCATGTTTAGTAAGAAGCAAAGCAGACTTTTTTAATGTGTATTTATTTTCTGTATCTAAGCACATATAAGTAATAGGAGCTATTCTTTCTTGGTCTGAGTGAGCCTTTACTTTGAATTTCAAACAGAACTGGTAGTGAAATATAACAAAAATACTGATTTGTAATTCTGCTTCTCTGAAAACAGCTTTCTAAGAAGATTCTCATTCCCTGGCCTTAGATTTCCACTATCCAAGACAATGAAAGTATCAGCTCTACAACGGGGATTTATTTTGTTTCTTAAAAGAGTAAAATACTGCTTTAAAAAATCCCAAGAGACTATTCTCTGTAGGAAATGTAAACCATAAATGGGGGAAGGGGGGAAGAACACCCACACTTAGGCCAACTTCAAGTGAGGGACATCCCAAAATAAAATAAAAACTTTTGTGATGGGAGATTTTGGCCTCCTCTACTTGGGAAACAAACTCTGGAGAATCAATTCCAAAATGGGATTCCCTCCTGGACGCAGAATGTAAGCAGCAATATTCTGTGCATGCATAGAGAGAAGAAATGTACAGAGAGAGCTGCTTTGCAGTTGTCAGAAGGGAGATTGCTTTAGGACAGGCAGTGGTGACAACCTCATCTCTCATCAGCTGAATTTTGATGTCTTCCTGTTTCAGGCCAGCTATGTAATAATAAAAAATATGCACTCAGACACGATTTAGTCCTCCTGGTAATTACCATAAAAGAAAGTTAAGTGGATTTTTCAAGTGCTTTAGTATGCCCAAAAGACCATCTGACTTCAAGGTCCTGGGAAAGGAGCTACAAGCGTGAGAACAGTGGAAGGATGATAGGCTTATTAAAGTTATTAGCCTTAGGACGAATCTTGGACGAGTAAAACTTTAAATAAGGTGGTTGAGTCATTAGGGCCTAAAATACACTCACTCTACAAGCTGAAATTCCTGCCACCAGGAAAAAAAAGAATCTATGTAAGAATTTTAAGCTCACAGGAATTTAGTATTTCAAAAGGAGCTTTCATCAGATCACATTAATATCCTACAATATAGGGGGTGAGATATTTGCAAGAATCAGACTTTGCATGAAAGTGCAATCAAACAGACCTATAGGTATGTATCAGAGGCACCGGCTCTCACCTCATATTACTTACATCAAAGGAGGCTACACAGTTTTCCCATTCCAGATCTGCAGCCTCATGCATAAGATTCTTAAGCTCCTGGCGTTTCTGTTGGGGAACACAACTGACCAGGATGTAGGACTTTCCCCAAAAAGGTCTAACTGACCCTTGCCATGAAGTCACTGTGGTTCACAGCTTCAAAAGTTGTGGCCACAAAGTAACAAAGAAGAATCCCAGTTCTGCAGCTCATGATTTTTCCCCCATTCCCATCCCAGTACTATAAATGTGGTGGGTCTTCTCTCTAGCAAGAAGCTCTCATGAGCAGGGTGTGAGACATAGCCAGCAGCAGCTTCAGGGAAAATATTTTTTCCTCAACCATCTGAGAGAATGAAGCAGTTGTGTGGTATCTGCCACATCTTAACCAGATGGTCCAAAATAAGGTGCAAGGATACAGCAATACTACTGGTGAGAGGTGCCTGGCACAGGTAACTCTCTTAAGGCCATTGTAGATTATTGGGCCAGCTGAAGATCAGTTTTTCTTCAACAGCTTCTGCAGAAAAACTGGCCAAAATCAGAATCCTCGCCTGTGAAATCAATACTAGTATTCCTCAGTAATAGAGATGTATTTGGCAAGAGATACATATTCTGGCTCATCTGAATCCAAAGACCAGCAATAGCTGCATCATAGCCTCTAACACTGATGGGGAGGGGCATTGTCAGGGCCAGAAATTCTTGCTTCAACAGTGCCAACTCTGGGGCACATGCATTGGCCTTGACACAAGAGGCCACATCAAGCAGTCAAACAAACTGCCCATATAGAATTAAAGGAATGTCTGAAGAATGGCACTGTAGGATTTGTGGTACCCTTTCAGCTTGGCATCAAAATTATCTCTGTTAAAGCAGCAAAGAAAACAGGAAGCAAAGCATGCAGAAACGCCCAAAATAACAGATTTAGAACCATAACAGATCTGATTGGAAGATAGGATTAGGACACTAAGATACCTAATGAAATCAGCTTGCATCCAGAAGGGCTGGATTCGCAGCCATCCTGACTCTGCTCCTGTGGGGAGCTTCTTCTCTGGCAACAGCTAAACATGATCTAAGGGGAACATCTGGAGGGCAGGAGTCATACCCCATACGGGCAGCACATGCTGGTCAGAAAAAGTCTGGCTCATAGAAAAATGTTGAAAATCCCTCGTGTAGACTTTCTGAGGCCCCCTCAACATGCTATAAAAACTCCACAGCCCACCTGTGCCACAACAACTGTTTTTCTGCATATAAAAGCAAGAGCCAATGTTAGGGGGTAGCAAACAGGGCAGTTGCCTGGGGCCCCACACTACAGAGAGCCCCCACAAAGCTACATTGCTCAGGCTTCAGCTTCAACCCCAAGTGACAAGGTTCAGGGCCCTGGGCTTCAGATCCATGCAGGGGGACATCAGCTTTCTGCCCTGGGCCCCAGTGAGTCTAATGCTGGTCCTATTTGGCAGACCCCCTGAAGCCTGCTCGCAGCCCCCCAGGGGGTCCAAACCCCTAGCTGAGAACCACTGGTCTACACTCAAGACTTTAAAGTCTTTACAAGGTAGGGGAGTTTCCCCAGTCTCATGCTGGTGAGCTGAGATCCAGGAGCAAGGTTCCATAGGGACTGTTAGGGAAAACAAACTAGGTTTTTTGTTTTTTTTAAAGTCTCCAATATATGCAACTAACAAAGCTGTTCCAATTCTTCACCAGATTCATTGGCTTGTGTATTACATCCCCACCTTTCCCCTGTTAGCATGTTCACATGTAAACGGTTGGTGACGGGGATAATCAGCCAGGACCCTAACACTGACCGGGGTCATTGGGTGCCACCATATCCTACGTATTCAATAGTAACTGATCCCAGACTATTATTTAAACAGTTCATCAATCCCACCATTTAATTTATTTGCTCCGAGCCCTCGCCCTGTTAAGCCTGATTCGACCATTCCCGGATGGGCGGCCAAGCCCAGAGCTCCCCACAGGCTGCTGGAGGGCCCCGGGGCTGGCAGTGGCAGCCCTACCATTCAGGGCATTTTACCCCCTCTTAAGCCCATGCAGCCGCGCTGCCAGGAACAAGTGCCGTAACAAGGGCGAGGCGAGTGAGGCACTTGCCTCGGGCGCAAAGCTGAGGGGCGCAGAAAAAGACAAATTAAGTTTTTTTATTCTTATTATTTTATGAAAAATTATAATCACATAATATGCACATTGTGTCATGACAAATGTACAATGTAAATGGAAAATAAGTAGAATTCACCCTACAGTAATTATAAAGCATTGGTTCTCAAACTGGGGGTTGCAACCCCTCAGGGGGTCATGACCCAGTTATGTGGGGGGTAGCGAGCCCCAACCCCTGCATGGACCTGCGGGGCTACGAGCCCCAACCCAGGCGCACGACTGTGAGCCCCAACCCTGGGCTGTGAACCCTGACCCCGACCCCTGCGCCAGGCTGAGAGCCCCAACCCCAGTTCATGATGCACACCTTACATGTATTAATTGATTTTGTACATGGATCTTATGATTAAAATAAATAAACGTTCTATTATTAACGTATTTTTCTTTTCTTTTTTTTTTTACAAAGTAACGTCTATGAAATTATATGGAGGGGGAGGGCACAAAAATAGCTAGTTACGGCTCTGCCAGGAACTATCCTGCTCGGGTCCCCTATACCGGGCTCGCCGCCCACCGCGGAGACCCTCGGGCGGGGAGGGGGCAGTCAGACCGACCCCTGCTGCTTCCAGCGGTGCGCGCCCCCCTTCTCTGCAGGGACCCGCGCCCAGCGGGCAGCGGCCCGGCTCCGAAGCGCGCCGGGAGAGGGCAGAAGCGGGACAGCACGTGCGGGGGGGTACCTGACGCCAGGGAAGGGGAACCCGCCCGAGGCCGACGCCGCCGCGGGGAAGTAACGAGACGCTGCTGCGCTGCCGCCATCAACCGAAATCCTCGAGCCCCCGCCCCCACCCAGGGGCCGCTCCACCGCGGCTGGCCGGGGGAGCCGGCCCGGCGGCGCGTGCCCGGGGCTCCGGAACGACAGACGCTACCCCCAGGAAACGCACCGCGACCAGGACCGGCCCCGGCCCAGGGGAGAGGACGAGTCCGGCAGCGGGAGACCCCAAGCCGCTTGCAGAGTACCCAACGGCACCCCCTCCACCTCCTGTGGTCTGAGCCAGCCCCGCCCCCGTATCTAAGATACAGCGTCGGACGCCGGAAACAGAACGGAGCAACGATTGGCCACACAAATGCGAACGTATAAAGAGGCGGGGCTTCCAAACGCGCTTGGCCCTGCTGAGGGGTTCCGGCTGATGTTTCCTTGGGCATAGGCAACGGGCTGCTGCGCGCCAGCTGTTTCCTTCCCAGTACCCTTGGCCCTGCCTGCTCCTGCCCTTGTTCCCCCTTCTCCTGCTGTTGCTGCTGCCAGGGCACCCACGGGCTTGTGTGCTGGCCTGGGGTGCTGAGAGCCATTGGACTAAAGGAGGAGTCCTTGTGGCACCTTAGAGACTAACAAATTTATTTGGGCATAAGCTTTCGTGGGCTAGAACCCACTTCATCAGATGCATGGAGTGAAAAATACAGGAGCAGGTATAAATACATGAAAGGATGGGGGTTGCTTTACCAAGTGTTAGGTCAATCTAACAAAATAAATCAATTAACAGCAGGATATAAAGGGAGGAAAAATAACTTTTGAAGTGGTAAGAGAGTGGCCCATTACAGACAGTTCACAAGAAGGTGTGAGTAACAGTAGGAAGAAATTAGTATTGGGGACATTAAGTTTAGGTTTTGTAATGACCCAACCACTCCCACTCTTTATTCAGGTCTAATTTGAATAAACTGTAACCCTGCATATAATAGAAACCACTTCAATCCAGGAGGTGGGGTGGTATCCCCAAGTGCACACCTAGTTCCAGCACCTATGCCCATGCCCGCCACTGCAGGGCGGGACAGATCCAAATGGGGAGGCTGCAAGAGCTGGTGGTTAGAGCAGGAAATTGGGGCTCCTGGTTTCTCTGCCTGGCCATGAGGCTTGTCTACGTTGTACTCTCCAACCTTGCTTTAACTCACATGACTGGAAACATAGCATCCACAGACTTGTTACACTCGTGGCAGTTAACCCATGTTAATGTGTGATTAGAAACAAGTTTACAAGCCCTGTGTGTGATGGTGTGTATAACTCTAAACTTGCCTCTTCCCCAGTAACCTCCTCTCTGCAAAAAGGATCATCATCATTAGCCATCTCCCAGGCCTATTGAAAGGCTACATTATCATTTGTAAAATGCTTTGAGATCTTTCAATGCAAAGCACTGTGTAATTAAAGGTTATTAGTATACCAAACAGGTTATATATTTTTTATTCTGTGCAGCACCGACCAATATACCTTGGCTGTCTAACACTTGACATTACAATTTACTGTTTTCATGTGCTTGTAGCTTTGTCAGTTTAGGCTGACATTTTTCGTGTTTAGTGTCTGCTTCAAGTTCAGTTTTCTGTGAAAGTTTGGTCCAATAGAGTTCAGCCATTTTTAAGGTTAATTAAAAATAAGTAGTTTTAGCTTTGTAACAAAATTAATTATATTTTTAACAGTTCAAGGCTTCAGGGGTTTGGAATAGGGTCTTGAAATTTGCCAGGAGGAGACTGGAGATTTTGCTGTCCTCAAGTAAATCTCTTTAGATTTTACTAAGTTATAAACAGAAAATTGTTATTTGTACATGCATAGTAAAACATTAAATGCTTGTTCACTTTTTTGAACGTTCGAATTCTTGCTCTGTTGCACAGCACTTGCTCCCAACCCCTACAGAGACATCTATGTTCTACTCTAATAACTGAAGTTATACACAAGCAGAATGGATTTCCCTTGTCTTCTTTCTTCCACATAAATGAGTATTTAACTCACAGTATAAGTAAAATGAATAAATAGATGTCAGGTAGTTTCTTGTAGTCATCACAGAAAAAGTGGGCCTTAAGGAGGGATTAATTTATGTTTTAATTAATGCATATCTGATTCCTAAGTCTCTTAAGGATAGCAGATATAGTGTAAAAGAGGCAGTGTGGTCTAATGGTTAAAGCACAGAACTGGGTTTTGTTCCTGGATTTGACAGTGATTTTATGTGTGACATTAGAAAAGTAACTTTCCTCTCTCTGCCTTAGTTTCCCCAGCTGTAAATGACAAAAACTAAACCCAAATAACTAAGTTACTCCCTCTTGTGATTCTCCCAGAGTGTCCTGTCATATGTGTGTTAGTTAATAAGTTTAGGACAAGGATTGTCTTTATTTTTGTGTATTGGACAGTGCCAAATCCAATATTGTCAGCATTTAGCAAATAATTGTAAATAATTACAAAACAGTGCCTATGTTATCTGGAGTGTTGTGAACATTAATGTATGTAAAGAATTTGAGAGCCTCATATGGAAGTTACTATAGTAGTACAAAGTACTATAAATCAAAACAAACAAATGGAAACTTTGTTTTTGTCATCTTTAATTTTATTAAAGTAAATATTTTTAAACAGAGACTTTAATTATAAGAGCACATCCCCCTCTTAGAAAGCAAACCATATCAGACAAGCCACAGATTCAGTCTTGCAAAACAAATCTCTTCATAAGAAAGCCTTACAATATGAATAAATTCAGATACAGGTAGCTATATTGGCTCATAACATTTTTTACCCAACTACTTTTAGCTAAGGGGTTATGAATTTCTTTGCTAATGCAAATTTCACTGCAAATATCTTTGTTATTTTCTGGCTGCGCTAGTGCAATTTGCTTTAGCCTGGGCTTCCCATGAACAGCACTTGGAAGCTTCAGCTACTGCAGAAAGCAGTGCCCTACCTGCTTAGTAGACTGGGCTAGCAAAAACACATTACACATGTACTCTGTGTACTGCTTTGGCTTCCCATCTGCTTCTGAGTGCAATTCAAAGTACTGGTTTTATTATGTATTACTGTATGCAATGGAATGGTGTTGTAGCCATGTTGGTCCCAGGATATTAGAGAGACAAATGTATTACTGTGAAAGTTGGGATCAGGTGAGGCACTTCTGCTTACAGTCACAGGCAGGAGGCAGAGTATTCTAGGTGGAAGATACTGAAATGTGAGACATGCTCCCTCCTACAATCTGTCAGAACTTGAGTTTGTTAGACTTCAGAGATGATATAAGGTTAATCTTTCTGACAAATTTTTGGCTGACCTAAGGGACTGAATTTTCTTTCTTGTCACTTTTTGTTTGTATTCATATTGATCCTGTATATCAGGGGTTCTCAACTTTCTCCACCTGGGTTTTTTATCATGGTCCCATTTTCACAGTTATTGCAGTCAAATACTTTGGGATCATGGCATGAAACCAGGACTGGTTTTCAGAGGGGAGCATGTGGGATGTAGTCTGCTGATAAGGAGTCCTGGTGCTAGAAGGTGGAGTGCTGACAGGTCACGTTGAGTTCTGCTGAACAGGTAATGGGTGCTGGCTAGGAGGAGATAGTTTCTAGGGGCTGTGAAAGTAGGATATTGCTGGGTGGGGGACTGGCAGGCTCCCTACCTGACTCCGTGCCTCTCCCACAGCAGCAGCAGAGTGTGGGTGTGGGAGGGGGCAGGGCATTGGGGCATGGATGGGGTGAAGTGAGCTCTGGGCATTGCTTACCTGGGTGGCTCCCTGGAAGTGGCAACATCCCCCTCGCTCAGCTGTTGGGTGGAGGCATGGCCAGGCAGCTCTGTGCACTGCCTCCACCTACAGGCACCACCCCCGCAGCTCCCATAGGCCATGGTTCCAGGCCAATGGGAGCTCCAAAGCCAGCACTCTGGGTGGAGGCAGCCCGCAGAGCTGCCTGGCCCCACCTCTGCCTAGCAGCTGAGTGAGAGGGATGTCGCCGCTTCTGGGGAGCCCCCCAGGTAAGCACTGCCCAGAGCCCAACTCACCCCATCCCACACCCAAACTCTGCTGCCGGGGGGGGCGGTGGCGTAGTGGCCCAAGAAACTGCCCCAGCAGCAGCTGGTGCACCTAGTGCTGGGGCTGCCTGAGCTTCCCCTGTACTAAGCTCACTGGCCGCTGTAGAAGTCATGGAGGTCACGAATTCCATGACCTCTATGACAAACTTGCAGCCTTACTCGTCATACATATAATTTAACAACTTTTTAATTTTTTACTATTAACTTGTTTGGGAACTAAGGTATTTTCCTCTGAGTTTGGGAGGGTTGTTTATCCATGCTTTAGTGTTCTACGGAGTTTCATGTATGCTTTGCAAGTGGGGTTGATGCAGGAGAAAATGCGAGACTTTCTTATGACTATAAGAGACTGCCTCAAACTTGATTCTTCAGATGGTGTGGTGTTTTGAGAGTCTGTTCTGATATCCGTTTGGTCACTTATTGGCCTGTGTTTCTTCCATGTCTTGCTGATTGAGTCTCAGTTGAGTGTATATTTCACCATCCTCCAAGTCCATGTTTATGTTGTCTTTGTAGTGGGTGAATGTATTTGTGGTTTCATTGAAATATATTTCATCCATTGCTACATTATCTGAAGGAGGATTTATCTTTAACTTACACATTTAACTTGCTTCCAAGAACAGTACATGTTTTCTCCTGAGAAAGTAATCTGATCTTGACAGGGTCTTCTGTTTGTAGTTCTAGGAAATATTTAACTTGTTGGTTCACCAGATCTCTGGGATTAAAACCATGAGATTTAATATCTAAATGACACCTTGATCTTTCTGGATCTTCAGTTAGCAAACTACAACGGAGAATTCTACAATTGGTCTTGAATGCTGTTGCTAAAGGAATATTGTGTTCTTTGACTATTTTAAAGAGTCCATAAAAGAAATTGCACTACAATCAAAGAATGAGGAATGTGCGGAAAAAGTCAATATTGGTCTCGGAAAAAGTCAGTGTTGGTCACTGAAAAATACACTAGAGAAGACTGAATATTATTAGCTGGAATATAGGAGTCTGTGTCAGAAGGATGAGTAAGGGAACAAAATATAGAATGAATGAGTGTGGTAAAGAGAGCAAGGAGAAGACGGTGTGAGGCAAGAAGGGAAGAGGGACTGAGAAGCATATTGAAGGACTGGGAGAGAAAGTGGAGAAATAACAGGAAGCCATCTTTTTCACTTTAAATATCTAGTCATCTCAATTTAGTTACCGGAATGAGAGTGACTATGCAAATGAGGTGATGTAATGGTAAGTATGGGAGGGAATATATATACCTGTGTTACACCTCTAAGCACATCCAGCATGAAATAGATGTTTTGTAGGGCTTGTGAGAAAGCCCTATTTCTGTTGCTTCAGGCTTTGACAGGATAATGTGGCTACCGATCAGCCTCTGAGGTGACAATTGGGCCCTCCAGCTGTTATCCTTTTAAATAGTAAAGCTTACCTCCAAACTAAGAATAATACTATTAATATTTTGAAAGCATTTTATGTTATTAAACTTTTATATAATAATTAACTGATTAATTCTTACAACACCACTGTGAACTAATAAGTAACTAAGGATTATTATCGCTATTTGATAGATAGAAAAGATGAGGCTCAGTAATCTACTTTGTAGTTGCTATCCTGTCAAATTCATGAGCTTCCTAGTACCTTGCTATGTATCATCCCTACCTCCTTCATTGAACGTGTGCTAGAAAATCTGATTGTTAAAACAAGTGTTAACTAACAGGATATTAGACATGACTTAGCACTCAGGGTAGACAAGAATTGTGGTGTTTAACCTCCAGTCAGCTTTAACTCTAGTTAAAGTCTTGGACTGGCTGTTAAGCATGTTAATTAACATGTGTTCTTCCAACAAAAGGTAAGTTTCCAGTATAAGCAAGGTCCAAGTTAGCCACATATGCAGCTGTGCCGCTCAGTATTCCTTCATTTATAACACTGGTAAAACTAGCTGAAAAGTCATACTGAATGTACTGTGCATGCACAAAGTGTTTTTTTCAAACCCTCAGTATTCAACCAAATCACAATCAGTTTTCACCAGCAGGGTCAAAGGCACTTATCCTCAGTAAAAATGTTATTTTTCTTCCAAATTTCAGCTTCCCACTCCCAATTTCCACATTAGATCTGTGCATAAAAGAGAGTTACATTTATTCATAAGAGAATGGTGAAGGTCTCTTTATTTTTACTCTCCTCTTGCCCAAAAACAACTGAAACATTTTTTTAAAACATAAAAATTCATTTTTGGGCAGAGAACAAGCCCAGAACATTTTAGCCTGAAAAATTAATGTTTCAAAAAGCTATGAGTACCTGGAGGCAGAGGATTATAATGGAAATGTGAATGCAATCTTAATTCTACTTAGCGTGTAAGTTATTTAGCTCAAAAATGTATTTTTATTTTGTGTTCGTATAACATCTGCACAATGGGGTCCTGGTCCATGACTGAAGCTCCTACCATTAGCGCTATACAGATTCTTTATTAAACATTATAACTACCACTCCAGCTGTAACACCTTTCTCTAATTCTTGGGGAAGTTTATATCTAAGCTATAGATGCAGACAAATCAACTCCAAGCTTGAAGTGATTCATAGAATCATATCTTACTTGCATCTGAAGAAGTGAGGTTCTTACCCACGAAAGCTTATGCTCCCAATACTTCTGTTAGTCTTAAAGGTGCCACAGAACCCGCTGTTGCTTTTTACAGATTCAGACTAACATGGCTACCCCTCTGATCATAGAATCATAGAATATCAGGGCTGGAAGGGACCTCAGGAGGTCATCTAGTCCAACCCCCTGCTCAAAGCAGGACCAATCCTGCTGAGTGATACTGAGTGATACTTCTGAGTGATACTTTCCAACTGTCTGGAGGGTAAAGCCTAAACCTAAAGGACTTAATATATTTGGAGAGGGAAGAGAGAACCACAGCAGTGGAAGCATTGTCCTAGGCACAACAGCAGTCACAGGAATACAGTGTTGTTGGGCACTTGAACATCTAGCTGTTTTGCTTGAGCTCTGAAAGTGATGTTTCATCTCTTGAGTTATAAACTGCTCTTTGCTTGTTCCATCTAATTTTAAGAAGTGTACAAACTTGTCAATAAATTAGACTAGGAATAGAGGAACTTTGTATTTGTGTCAACCCATTTATCTCTCAGTGAGAAAATAACTCACTTCTGGAATCCAATTTTTCCGGATTACTCAAGTGCATGGCATGGGAATAACATCATCATGCTTTACCACCACCCAACACACTCCTATAATACTGTAACAAATCTGTGCCTGCCTAGAAACTTCACAGTTGTCACTGTCACAATGCTGCACACTGGGGTCATTCTAAACTTTATGGCAATAGTGGGACAATACTCAGATCTTTCTTCCTCCTTCCAAAGCACAGGCTCTTAATATTTGGCCTAAAGTATAATAATCTCCATTAGCAGTATAGCACTATGATAAACAACTGAAGTGCTGATCCCTTCCAGCAGAGGATAGTGATACAACTAGCCATTTATTTACAGTACTGTCCAGGGGTGTTAACTGTTTTACATTTGCTACAGTGTTTTAGTATCAGAATTCTGGAATACTGTTTGTACTCTTGGTTTTATTCAGAATTAGACCCCAGGGTTCAGTGATCTAAAGATCAAGTTTGTAAAGCCTAGATTATCTGAAACCATGTGACTGCCATCTCATATCATCTGAGAGCCTTCTGAGAAAAATAAATTTATTTCCTCTATTTGGGTCTTTTGAATGAGAACTTTTAAAACAATCCTGTGTGCTCTGCATGGACATTAGTGATAGGGATTTGCCTTTGCTGTCCTAGGCCAAACGTTTCCTCTCCTCTACCTGTTATGCTCTGCTGTTTGGCTCTCTCTTTCTACCTCAAATAGCTGTTTTTCAGTGGTGCTAATGCATGCAGGGCCTGGATCCCTCAAGGATTTATGTGCATGCTTAACTGTACCCCTTGCAAGTAATCCCATGTTGTAGTCACCCATGGGACTATTCACAGCATCTAAAGTTAAACATACATGTATGTGAGTCTTTGCAGGATTAGATAGATAGGTCCCAGTGCTGCAGGCTAATCTTTGCAAATGGGATGGAACCTTGCACCACAATGGAGCCCCTCACTCAGACAGATGCAGGAGCTCACCAGCATACATCAGCTTGGAGCATGAGTTGTACTGTACTTCGGGATGACATGTGCGTATAGATATTATTCAGGTCAAGCTAACACAATGTAGCACCTTCAAATCAATTTCTTTCCGCCCCGAATAAACACCTTAAAAGGGCACTATCGGGTTTAAAACAGTTTCAAGAGTATTTTCACCGTAATAAGGTTGATTATTAACACTGAAAGAATTTTTAACGTCCAGTTACTTTTAATTACGATCACTATTGTGCCTTTTATGAGCGAGGGGCCTTGAACAAACTATTCTATTTCGTTTTGTATTGATAGTAGCCTCCAGGGTCTTACAAACGGACACAACGATGAATGTTTCGGATACAAATGCTCCCTTCGCGATGTTTATTTATTTAAAAACAACAACAACCACCCGCTTTTCACTGAACTATTTTAAACCCCTCTGTCCCGTTAGCCCCGGGCATCGGTAAGCTATTCTACGGCTTCCCAGCCCCTCGCACTTTGATTCTCTTTTATAGAAGTTAAGAGTGGAGCCAGATTGTCCCGCTGATGCCTCCGCCAGAGCTTGAAGGTCACTTCCTCCGTCCAACGGGTGCGCTCCGCGTGTGCTGTGTATTGGAAGCAGTTGCCTGGATACTCCCCGCACACAGTCCCCACCCCCCGCAGCAGCAGGGCCTGTGTGAGATGAGGTAATGGGCGGGGGAAGATGAGCGAGCCGGGCAGCGACTGAGGAACAAGCTCGGCGCCCGGCGGAGACTGGAGCGTGATGGTGAGAGAAGCAGCCTGCGCCGCCCGTGCCTTTGGCTGCTGAAGCGCCCCCTCCCGAGCCGCGGGGCCAGGGTGCAGAGACCCGAGCCGCTCAGCGCAGCCGCGCACAGTTGCATTTGGGATCCCGGCCCCAGGACGCTGCAAGCCCCAGGCGGAGGCGAGGATCCCGGTCCATAGTCCCAGCGTGACGGCGTAGCTCAGCACACGGCCGGGAGGGGAGGACAGCGGACGCCCGCCCAGCACATAGCCCGGCCGGAGTAGGGCGTCAGGGTCCCGGATCGCGCTGCGGACACTGCCAGTCAGCAGCAGCAGCCGCCCCAGGGGGGCTTCTCCCACGTGCGCTGCGGGCGGGCTGCCTGTATGTTGCCGGGGGCGGGTAATCGCGGGCAGGGAGGTGCTTGCGGTCCCCCTGCTCCAGCGTCCCCCCGCCCTTCCCTGTGTGCAGCCTGAAAGCAGGAGGCGGCTGAAGCACCGTCAGCCGCGGCCAAGGGGAAGCCGAGCGGCCCTTCTCCCCGGCCCCGCCGCCCATGGGCAGCTGCAAGCATCACGCCCGGCGGGGAACCCACAGGCACTAACAACAGCAGCGCGGCGCCAAGGGAAACCCCTGCAGCTGCCCGCCCAACAGCGGCTTGTGCGCGGGCAATCCGGTGAGTGGCTCTTACTCGTCATTTGCAATCACTGCTGGTGCATTTGGGAGAGGGGTATCACGGGCATACCCCCCCCCCGCGCTTGGTGAACCCCGTGGAGTTTCCTAGCCGGTTTCACGCTATTTGGGTGTCTTGTTTTGTTTGCCCTTCACTTCCTCTCCCGGCGGCGCTGGCGGTCCCTCCTGCGCTGCGGTTTGGAGGGGCGCGAACCCATTGATTGCTCCTGTGGCTCCTGGCCTCTTCCTGCCAGGGCTCAGGTGAAGAGGCGCAGCCGGGACTGCGGCCGGGGGGCTGGATGGCTGTGCAGATGTCCTTCTCAGCGCCTTAGGAAGCGGCAAAGGGGCCTTCTGCATTAGTTCGCAGCCAGCATGGTGTCGCTCTGTTTCTTGAACCGCTACTCTAAACCATATGACACGGGGCCGACCTTCAAGGAGCCCTCTTTTGAAATAGATAGAACAGCGTCTCTGGCTTTCTGTGCTCCTTGGCACCTCCCTTCAGGAAGAACACAGTTTAATTCTATTCTGTGTTTACCTAACCTGAAACACAAGAATTGCTAGCAAAATTGGGCCTTGTGAATTATTTACAGGCAGGTTGATGTTGCTTCTGTGTTTGTCAGTAAAGAGGATCTGCATTTGTGCAAATACTCCTCCACAATTCATGAAGCTTTTAAATATTAACCTACGATCCTTCATTTTTAGGCTGGTGGTAATTACCAAAGATCATGCACTCTTATACATTTCTCAGTGCTCAGAAGTGTGCCTCTCTTTAAAATGTTAAACCATCTCCAAACATTCTGTCTAGTCAAGTATATTTTTATGGGGTGGGGGAAGAATGTCCTAAAGAAACTGGTACATCTGTTAAAGGGCAGGAACCCTGACTTCTTCCTTCCTCACCATTCACACCTGTTCATGAGTAGGTGGAAGTAAGGTTATCATGTAGAACTTGATGTTTCCTTCCGAATCTGTAACCTTACTTTAGCCTGTCTTTCAGAAAACAGCCAGGAAATGTGTTATAACCAGCTCCAGGGTTCATAACCATGTTTCACAACTATGTTTTAAATATGGTTACTTTTATAATCTACATTAGGTCTCCAGCCCTGTCCATGGTGGAGCTGAACTGTGTTAGCCAGGATTGTGTTTAAATACTGTATGGTTGTTGCTAGCAGTGTTCTTGAACAGTTTCCCTGATTGCCATGGACAGGGATATTTTCCCAACTGCTTGGGTACCATGTTTGCCAAACCATATATTCCCCAGGTACTTTGTAACATGGTTATAATTCAGGTCACAAACCAAAACAGTCCCTGTGTTAGAATCATGCTAGCAATAAGTGTTTAAACAGGGTTGAAGCTATTGCTCTTCTGGTCTCAGTGATTGTCTCTTTGCTAGGAAAACAGATGTATTCGTAACTTGGGGTGAAATCCTAGTGAAGACAAGGCAGATTGAATTCAAGATTAAGTTTCCCTGGTATAGCTAGGAGCTAACTTTCCACTGAAGTTTGTTCTTTGTTTTTAAAGTTCCAGTCCTTGTAGTTGCACGGTTATGTTTGACAATGGACTTAGAATCATGGAAACTGCAGTGGATCAAGATTGGACCCGTATGGTGTAACCAGGGTTTGACCCTGGTTTAGGAAGCCTTATTTGGCATAGTCCGACATAATGGTGTATCATCCATATTCGCATATCCACACATGTAAACAGATGCATTATTGTTGTCATGTTTGGCATGATTTTCAGATATGCTGATTACCTACAACTCCCATTGAAATCAGCAGGTATGAAAATCAAGCCAGTTTAATCTGGAACCATATATATTGAAGTAATAGCAGCAAGTGATGTATGAGCTTCTTATGCATCTTAACAGGATATTAACCTAGCACTCTAAGTATCAGTTAGTGACCCTCCATGTTTGTGGAAATGCAGACAGGAATTGATTGACTAAAAGGAATTTGAACTTTCCGCTAGCACATAAGTGTAATTGCTCTTTGACAGTTAAGGAAGCAAAATCAGATTAAGAAACCTGGTCTAATATTCAGCTTATTACTGCTGTCATTCTTAGTTCCTAACTCAGCCTCTGTTCCTTCTGCTGCTTCTTAGTACCTAACTGTCCACTGCTTTCTTACAGGAGTGAGAATCCATGATCAGGCCTGCTGCTCTCCCAGATTATCCCATCCCATCTCCTAGAACTGGAAGGGACCTTGAAAGGTCATTGAGTCCAGCCCCCTGCCTTCACTAGCAGGACCAAGTACTGATTTTGCCCTAGATCCCTCAGTGGCCCCCTCAAGGATTGAACTCACAACCCTGGGTTTAGCAAGCCAATGCTCAAACCACTGAGCTATCCCCCCCCAATGTGATCCTAGCTCTTTCCACATCCTTGGATGTGGCTTCCTTTTGAGTCCTGACATGTTGTGCCCCACTTGCCTGTGGGATAGAAGAACAAGATTTGAACAAAACAATTAATGTACAATTACATGATAAATGGGCTTAAAAAAAAACAACAACCCTGCACCTGACCTATACTAGCATTTTCACAGGTGGAGCTGCATCAATGTGGGACCAATTGTGGGAAAGTGCTGAAACTTCCCATTGTAGATTGCATGGCAGAGAACAGACCAGACTTTCAAAATAACTCAGCTGCTGTTTAAGCACCTAAATTAAATATCCAAAATGGGAGCTGCTGGGAGCAGAGTATTCTTGAAAATTTAGTCTTAAGTGCAGCTTAGCAGTGGAATGGGTAAATTGATACCTATGTGGCAGCAAAGGTTAGAAGACTTAAAACCAAAACTGCTGTCTTGTTTTTAACAGGCAGCATTAAGGAGCAAGGGAGATTGAGAGGCAGCAGGAAGGGGGGGAGGGGAATATTGTTTTTCAACAATCAAGTTCACACTTACATGTACCAATCAGATTTCTACACTAGCATTTTTCAGGAAATCACTCACTGATGGGAGTGCTAATATGTACAGGATATGGGCATTTTTTACCAGTCATCTGGATCTGCACACTGTCTTCTGTCACTGGTGGACGTGCAGTGGTAGGAGATATACCAAAATACATTAGTTAAGTATAGACACAGTTGTTTGTGTGCGAGTGTTTATAACTAAATTTCAACAATGGGCATTTTGCCAATGAAAGCCTGAAAAATCCAGATATTGGTACACTTTTGGAATTTCAAATCTTGAAAAAATACCTTGGCTGTTTCATTTACCATAAATTGGTGCTTCCTTTGATACTAGTCTGATTACCTAAAAATATGAGGCCAAATTCTCCACAGGTATAACTCAGGTGATTTCCATGGAGTTACATCACTGAAGAATTTGGCCTAGTGTTTTGCCTGTTTTCATGGGAATTCCTTACCAGTGTATGAAGGGATATGTAAGTGTGATGTCCTACTTCTATGATTTCTCATATGAAACTAAAAGTCCTGTTATGTTTTTAACATGTTGACCATGGTAGTAGTGTACACTATTCAAAAAGATTATAACTCAGTGAATTTTGGAAAGCAAATTTCCGTTCTTCCTCTGTGGAAGGTTTACCTACACCACAAAGATCCAGATGAAAGAATGAATGCACTTAAACTGACCAAATACGTTGGTAACTCCTCCCAGTGAAATAGAGAATATCACAGATGCTGCAGTAGATGGATTTTTGCTTGTGTGTGGCCTATCAGTTCTTGAAAGGAATAGATTCCATTAGAAACTGCAGATTAAATAGGGCTTCATAACATGAAAAATATAACATGAAAAAGATACGGTATTTCAGCCAAAAGCAATGTTCACTCACAATGTACTAAACTTCTTAATAGTGGAAATCTAAAAATTTTTTGCAACCTAAAATACTTATGTCTTGAAGGTACAATTATGGGCCCCAATCCTGCAGTTGGAGCCTCATTGGCAGACCCCTTACTTCACTGGAGCTCTGCGCTGTCATGAATGTCCACCTGAATCCAATTGCAGGTTCAGGGCTGGAGAGCAAAATACAATCTCAAGAATGAACCTCTGGTTAATTTATACTTTTTAAAATAATATTTAGAATCTAATGCAAAGCCAGTTTGCTTAGTACTTAGCTTGATACAGAGTTCTTTAGGCAAGGTAATAGTTACATCACTATTGTAAAAATCCTAGTAGCTTTTTCTTTTTTCTGGTGCTACAGGAAGGAACATATTTTACACCTAGCTAGATTCTGTGGCCCTTTAAGAATGTAGAATGTGTACACTATAGTTAGCATCATGTAACCTATATTTGTAGATCTGTGCTCAGGCCACATAGTTCTTTCTTAAGGTGCAGTTATGGGATAGGTTCACATTTGTAAACTGATCAAGGGGTATACGAAAATTTGCGTTGCATAATTTTATCATGTGGCTCATGAATTAATATTTTTTCTAAGAATTAACATCTAACTCCTTGACTGAAATTGGCCTCACTGTATTTGATCTCTTATTTGTTCATTGTAATGGACCCTATTGATTACAGTGCAAAAAGTCATGTTATATAGTGAGCCTGCTTATGTCTATTCAGTTAAGAAGCTTATTGATAGCACAAAGAGATTAGCTGAGAGATAATTCTTAGGTTCAATTATGTTGACAGATTTGTCTCAGTTTAAATCAGTTGGTAACTATACTGGAGGTGATTGTCTTTGTCTTGTCTTACCAACCTTCTTGGGCAGAGCAGTTTTCTAACTGCATAGCATTTTGAGACGTTGTAAACTTCAAACAGTTCTGTGAGTCACTTAGGCCTTGTCTACACTGCCACTTTACAGCGCTGCAACTTTCTCGCTCAGGGGAGTGAAAAAACACCCCCCTGAGTGCTGCAAGTTGCAGCCCTGTAAAGTGGCAGTGTAGACAGTGCACCAGTGCTGAGAGCTAGTCCCCTCATGGAGGTGGTTTTTTAGAACTCTAATGTTGCTAGTAAAGACATGCTGTTAGTAATATCACAAGGAAACATGAATATCTCTTTCTGGTGGATAAAATATACAGGAGGCTGGAAGTTTCCATTTCCTTTTAGAAAG